ATTTGCATTATTTTATTCAAGTGATGCTAATATATACATCAATTATCTAATGATGTAAAATTTGGTTTTGTATCAATATTGTTCAAGTGATGTGATTTAAAATAAATTAGTATCAGTTTTATGCAATCGATGCCATATAAACTAATAATAACATCATTTGTATTACCTGATGTTAATACTGTATCATTTATGTCACTTGTAAATAAATGACTCTAATTAGTATCAATTATTTTTCTGATATAATTTATTTGATGCTATCAACACTTTTTTTTTGTAGTGAAAGATTAATAATAGTGTAGTGTTAGATGTTTGGCAAACTTCTGTAAATATGATATTTGAATAAATATAATAAATATATAATTGTGTTGAATTTTACTTTCTTCGCATCATATCCAAATCCTCCAATTACAACCTGTCTGTCCTCTACGATTTAATTATGTCGATATTTACAAATAAATATAAATACAATATTTCTTAATGAAAAAAAAAATCAAGCTAGGGTTTTGGAATGACGCTGTGTTTCAGTCTTCTTAAAAGCCCATCTCCTCCTCCTCATCATTCCGTCATCATAACACCATCATTCATCAACATCATCTCTTTCTCTCTCTCTACATATATCCTTTATCACTTTCTCTCCCCATAAATATACAAATCCTCTAAGATATTTTTTATTGTGAATTGAAGAGGCTATTTCCGTTGAGGGGAATGTTGTTTGGATCGAGGATATCATCATATGCATACGTATAATATCGTAGATGCGATATTACAATATGTAGGTATATCTATGGAATCGTCGGACCAGGCTTCATTCCTCTCAACATCTTATTGCCTTAAATCACCGGAAACTACAAAACATAATTAGATTATTTCCTTGTCGTCTGTGTATGTGTGTAGGACATTGTCTCTTAACTCTCCCTTTTCTATTAGCTCTCTATGCAGATTTGATCCAATGATTATAATTTCCTCCTTTCGATGTTTATACGTGTCTTACATTGTGTGTCTATTGCTTTTATAATAAAAAAAAACATATACTCCACAAATCAAACTACAAAATATATTCAGTTTCTTTTTTTTTTTTCTGGTCAATGGAGCTTTTTCAAACCTTTTTATAGGGAGGTGGAGTTGAACTCCCGTGCTCATTAAAGATCTTGCAAAGGTGACAATATCACTTGTTAAACAGATCTGAGCAATGTAGTCCATTAAAAAAAATCACGGTGCATCTCTATCTATATGAATTAATTAGTTAAATGACCGAATCGCTTAAGTGAGAATAATATATTTGGTCCAATTCTTTGAGTATTCGTATTGATAGATAATGGATGAGGTGCAGGGCCGGTTTAGTAGGGGGACAAGGGATGCCATGTCCCAAGGTCTTATCCTATAGATGACATATCCGATTTATACATAATAAGATAAAAAAAAAAAAAAGATTGAAAAAGTTTCGGAAAATACTATACATTAATTAATTATACAAAAAGCTTTTCTGAAGAATAAAAACCTCTACAAAGAAAATCAAATCTAAAAAGCATAACAATGTTGAGGCGGACTTATAAGATGAGAAGACAATCGGTTTCACTGAAGAGATTATGTGGGTTTAGAGTAGAGATAACCACATGTTATTTATCCATATATTTTTGTGAGAAAAATAAAGTTACTTTCTCGCAACTAATTTTTAGCTCGTCGTTAACCAAGCATTATTCTATCTTTTGTTTATAATAAAATATGTCGCATCTTGATTAACATGCTATGTAAAAATATATAAAAAGTACACAGCATGTCAAAGGGAACCTAAATTTTGACATATATCATATACGCTAAAACCCGGCCATCAGTTGTTATGTTAGTTTTTAATAGTAACAGAATTACAAGATTCTGTGAGAGAAACGAGTATTTCGATCATTGCTACCTAAAATCAAATTATTTTTCAATTAAAATATTTGTCATATAATTATCTACTCGTGTTTTAACTACTAAATATAGTTCACCGGAAAATGAAGTTTTTGACTATTGGGAAAAATAGCAAAAAGAGATTGAAAAGTCTTGTTTTTGCTTTGTGAAAAGTGCTTTATTTTTCATGTCACGCCTTTTCCTTGTATTTATTGAGATGTGACATCTTCTCTCAATAATTTAACCGCGACTTCCTGCATAACATAAATGCAAATGTGCTGATATTGGATGTTGCTTTGAACCAAAATTTTGCGTTTGTCATCGAGGAATGCAAATGTCACGGTTTTAGATTTTGAAAAGAAAAAAGAAAAACAAGGATAAGATCTGCTTCAATCATGTATGAATTAGTTGGGTTCAATCACTTTAGAAGTTACAAAGTGATATAAGTAAAGAGATTGTCGCTGAAGATAGGAGTTGAGCGTCGTTAACTAAAAATTTGTTGTCTCCCTCGAAATGGTGAAAGAGTTACTCTAGTTTCGCTTATACTATTTTAGATCGTTGGAAGTGATTGCAACGAAAAAGTTGCTATTTTTGATATCGATCGGATTGACTGCTTTCGCATTTTTGAATATTTACGTTGGTTGAAAGTAATGTGAATGTAAGTTTGTAAGTTGTAAGTTGTAACTTAATTACACCATTAAACAAACATTTTCTTTTTTACTTTTGGTAATTTAAAAAAACGAATTTGCCGAACAACTCTTTTAAAAAGAAAAAATGTAGCCGTAGTACAGCCCACAAGTGACCAGCCTATTATGTTGAAAGCATCAGGCCTGCATCTACGGCCCATTTTTTATTTGTTGGACAGGTGAACAAAAATATCACACCTTTTTCTGGGGATAAAATGAAGCACTACTTTTTGGCATAATAAAATATTTAATTTCAAGTGGGAATTTCGGGGGGAAAAATATATCAAGTGGGAATATCCTTTATAATTAAAAATTGTAATAATTCTCCGTTAGATATTCCAACAATCTATGAGGTTGTGGCTTCTTTGTACAAATGATACGTACTTCCATGTGACAATTAAAAAGTGTCTCTTTAAACATTTTTAAATAGAAAATATATCAATATTGAAGTTGACGCCACCAATTCCATTGGAATTTTCACTTTTCCTTAATGTGTTATAATTGTTATCATATTGTTGGGTCCATTAAAGATTTATTAGCAAAAATTGATATACACAAAAAAAAAATTGGTGTGGAAAAGACTTTGTGGTAAAGGCTACATGTGTAAGAATCCAAATATTTAAATCAAACGCTAGCTTTTGATTTTTTATTAATACGAATTTTTTTTTAAAAAAAATTGTTTTTTGTGTGTGGAAATTTCAATTTAAATATACCCACCAAATCACTTTTCGCGGGTTTGCACGAATCTAATTTTTCATACCACTAAACCACCACTTTATCTTTTTGTTCGTTGTCCAGTGCATCGATTGATATCTCTTCAGAATAAAACAAAATTTAGTTTTTGATTTTTCATCACACGAATATAAAATAGACTTACAATAAACAAAAGAAAAACCTAGCAAACCATATTTAAAATTCGAAAGCAGCATAAACAATTATGTAGTGTCATTTATTTAACCCAAACAAATTAAAACTAATTAAAACATTGTATTAGCGTTTGATATTTTTATTATTTAAACTTAACTTTTTCCTCATTAGAAACGGTTTAGAATTTTTATTATTACTAGGAGAGAATCCGCGCGTATGCACGGATCTTGTTTGAATTTATATTTTAAATAATTTGTATTGAACTTTAAGTTTATTATTAATATATTTTTGTCTAAAATATTTATTTTTTTTATTTCTTCTTGATGATATATTATATGTAATCTCCTTTACACCAGTTGTATTAAATAGTTTCATTTTTTCTTCGATCTTTATATTCTTTTTATTCTTGTAAATCGTAATAATATAATATTTGTTAATTTTTTTAATTTAATATTTAATTTTTTTTGGTTATATATTTTATTGATTTCATCTTTTTTTATTACTTAAAAAAACCATAAATGACATTTTTATGTGGATATCTTTCTTTTTACTATTATTTTTAATAACTTTTATCTTTTTAATAGTTTATTATATATGATTTGTGTTTTACAATTTTATTAGTTGAATTTTTATATAAGATTATTTGAAATTTTTTAACTTATTTAGTCTCATAATTTTTTTTCACTTGCATTAAAAGTTAATTATATTTTTAGTTTATAAATGAAGTTTAAAACATTTAAAAAGAAAATAGAATTGTACATTTAAAATGTTTTGTATTATATAATATTTATAAGTTTGTATATAGTTAAATTAAATTTGAATTTTATTCTAATATAAATATATATCAATATTTATTTATGTTTTTAATGTGTTTTAATGTGTTTTAATATGTTTTAATATGTTTTAATGTGTTTGTTTTAAATACAATTAATTAATTATTTTATTAAATATGAAGATGACAGGTGGCGCTCTCTCCAGCGGTGATGTGTCACTCAACTGGAGAGAATTGGCCAAGTTTTATATATAAGATAAGATTTGTGCTATTATGGAAAGTTTAAAGAACATAGATTTTTTTTTTTTTTTTTTGAAGAGAGAACATAGAATTTTTATACTTAAATGTATTGAATAAATATAATAAGTAAGAACTAAGAAGTAAGAACTCACATAGAATGCGAAAACATGATTAACCTTGTAAAACATTTTTGTCTCTTGGTAATACTAAATAAATACACGTATAAACTGGAGTAGATGCCCATATTACTTACAAATACACACGATTGTGTGTGTCCTCATCTCCGTTAATTTAGGGATTAGCTGGATTGTCATTTAAGTTTTAATGATGACAAAAACAGAAAAGACAAAAAAAGTACCTCATAATATACATATAGGGTAAGATTAAAGTTTTCTTGAGTGCTTAAATCTAAAGTAAAATGGCTATATGATTTTTAAAATTATATCATTACGGATTCGAATTAAGTACATATAAGATAAAGTAAAGTAAATTATTCACACCATCTTTGCTATATATACAAGCAACATCATCTTTACTTCAAAACAATTAAAGACTCTCGTCTTCAAAACAAATGACAAACATACGACATTTTCTTCATCGTCCATCTCTTACAACCTTCCAAGAAGCCCGGCCATTTTCCTTCACTTTCTAGTAAAAACAAAAACCATTTTCTGGGGAAAAGAAACAAACATGGGAGAGACAGAAACCATGAAGACACACTAAACCATATATACTACCTATACTAATATAGTAATATTCATTCCAATGGGTAACGGAGAAAAACTCATACACTGGAGCTTCCATTTCCCACGTCTCCATCATCATCATCACCATCACCATCATAATCATCATGAACATGATCATGAAAAGGTACCAAAAGGCTGTTTGGCAGTGAAGGTAGGACAAGGAGAAGAGCAAGAGAGATTTGTGATTCCCGTTTTGTATTTTAATCATCCTTTGTTTGGACAACTCTTGAAAGAAGCTGAAGAAGAGTTTGGGTTCGCTCAAAAAGGGACAATCACGATCCCTTGTCACGTCGAAGAGTTTAGGTACGTTCGAGGATTGATAGATCGAGAAAACTCTAGATCCCTCGGTATTTATAATACTCTTGATCATCACCACCATCACCATCATCATCACAACCACAACCATCTCATCCGGTGTTTTAAGGTTTGATCATTTTATTTTATGATGATATAACCAAGAAGTTCTGAATAGATATATAATTTTCTCGGACCGAAGACCAGAACATGTTAAGTTACTGTAGTTCCTTAATTTAACTCCGGTGTTCGGTACGGTATTCGAACTCGTGATCTTGAAAACTTTCCCATTTGGATGGCGAACAAGTATACTAATTGAGTCATGGACGCCAGCTGGTTTGATGATCTTGTTTTGGCCTCTTTAATTCATATGTATCGTGTTGTTGTTCATTGTGAATAAATCGATCTTCATTTCATCTTATCTTATTGTGTGGCTTGTTGTTGTTGTTGTTCGAAATTATATATGTTTCAACTGTAAGCTTGACAGGATAATAAAAACCATCATATTTAAATAAATAATAAAAAACCATCATATTTATAATATAATCTAATTAATGTTATTGTCATGTTGATCTATTTTTACTAGATATAGTTTATTCTAATTAACTTGTCGATTCGAGTTTTGCATAGCTATTGAAGATACTGAAACTTAGGTCTGAGGTTAAGCAAAATGATCTAGATGATAGCTTTGGCTACTATTTTACAATATATTAATCATTTGAATAAAGAGGTAACTCATTTTTTTTCTTACATATAGACCCTAAAATCTATTATATAATAGAAGAGTTTTCTCTCCATCTAGAATATCTACATCAGCAAATCCATAAATTTTAACCTTAAAACATATTTAAAAGATGCATTCAATATTTGTATATTTATATCTACTATTAATATATTTAGTATAATTAATAATTAAAGAAAATTGTAATACAAAACTGGATTAAACTATATAGATTTTATTACAATATAGATTATTAAACTGAAAAAAGAGTTACAGAAAATGATGATAGTTAAAAAAAATCAAAAGTTGATGACAAAGAATTAAAAATAGAAAAAATAAGAGAGATCAAAATACATTAAAAAATATGTAAATAAAGACGAAACAATATCAAAAAAAGAAGAAGATGTAAAAGTCAAAAACCATGAAGAGAAAATTGAAAAAAAACAAGAAGAAGAAGAAGACGAAACTAATGAAGAGAAATTTTAGAAAATACGAAGACAAATACGTAAAAAAATAAGAAAAGAGAACATAAGATGAAGATAACAAACTATGAGAATATGAACATAGAGAATGAAAAAAAATAAAAAAAATAAAAAAAAATATACATATAATGAATTAACTGTTCAACAGTTATAAATAATAGTAGATTAAAAATAAAATTTTGCACAACACACAAATTATAAATTAAAAAGATAAAAATAATATTTAATAAAAATAATTATAATCACACAATGATAGACAACATATAAAAGCACACAAAAAAATAATAGCAAAATTAAAAGAAATTTGATCTTAGATAAAAACAATAATAAGAATAACTAACAAAACACAAACATTGTTACACAATGCAAACATAAAAAAATAACTATTAAAATAAGAAAAAAAATATCAAATAAATTATATTTTAAAATATAGCACATAAAGTAAATACAAACACAAATATTAACTAAACCCGCGCGAAGCGCGGACTCTACTATAATATAATTAACTTTTATGTTATGCTTACTTTGATAAAGATATGTGAAAGGGAAGTTTCTTTATATCTACAAAGAAAAACGTAGACAGCAAAAATTCAAGAAAATTATGATCAGATGAAATTGAAAGGATAATTTTTTTATTTACTTGTGCTGATTCAGTCTTTACGGTCATAAAAAAACAACATACTGTTATCACATGTAAGAACAACTTAAATCACACACTTGCAGTCAAGTAAAGCGATATCTACTTTAAGTATACCTTGATCTTCTCTTCTTTATTTAAGTCAGGTACACATATTTGAAAATATATTTCGTTTATATATTCTCTTCTTGATTGTTTGTACGATTCTACGACAAAAAAAAAAGAAGAAGCAAAATAACGATAGATTGAAGAATAAAGAAAGTGGAGAGAAATGGACTAGAGGTTTTGACCCTTTTGTATGGCCAGAATAGCAAAACGCCAGTCACTACCAAATACAAAATTTATTTTTCAAGATGTAGTAGACATTCCTATTTTGTCCGTGAATTAAAATATCTTTCACATGCTTGCCAAACAAAATTTTCGTGACCATTTTGTATGCCATTTTTTTTTGAATAATTTACTAAAAAATAATAATGCATAAAATTCTGTACCAATAATATCTGTGTCTCAATCTTCTCATCGTAATGTTCTCTTCGCTTATTTTCATTACATTCATTGAAACTTTTTTTTTTCCGGCATTTCATTGATTAGTAAACGTTTATTCAAATATTTTTTTTTGTCTTTTAACTATCAATTGAAGATTCATGTCTATTAACCCTTTTCTCAAAAAAAAAAAAGGTGTTATGTCTATAGGTTTGAAACATAAAGCTAAGTACCTAACACATATTTTACTTGTTGGGTTTTATCGGGTTTATAATTCACGTATTTTAGCACAAGGATCCAACTGTATTAGTGATCGAATCACCAGGTTTACTAGTCCGATTGCGAGTTTAGATTGGATCTAAGAACATTGCTTACCACACAGTGAGTGAGGCAGTTTGTTAGGAGGGAGTCAATTGATCTATGTGAAATTCAAAAAAAAATTATATATATATTTATACTTTTTAAAAGAAAAATAAATGAAATATTAAAAATTAGCTTAATGATTTTTATAAAAAATTTGCTCAGAATACATTATAAATTAAAACTAATCTCTATAAAAATTTTGGCTAGCTCCACCACTGTTATCACAGTATCATCTATTCAGCCGTGTATTATAACAATAATTGAGATATCGGTATGTGACAGTATCATCTATTCAGCCGTGTATTATAACAAAAATTGAGATATCAGTATGTGACAAAACTAATTTCTATCAACAGTTCAACACTAATTATTACAACAATACTCAAGATTTACATAAACGACAATATGTTTTTGTTATGAATTTTAACAAGACCCGTGACGGCGAGACTCCAATTTTTTTTCTCTTTCATCTTTTCTACTAATAAACGTTGGATTTTTTTTTGGGTAAAAGAGCTTGTTCGTTGATTAATAATTTTTACGTTACAAAAATCAGAAACTTTGTTGATTAAAAAAAAATCAGAATATATACCGGCTTGACGAAAGTTTCATCTGGGCCCAATTATACAAGGCCTAACTTCAAATCAACTCTTAAATCTCAAGGTTGGACATTACGGCCCGATCGATGAATTCCACATTGATAACCTCATTTGGGTCATTTTCAACTTTTACGAGATACGTAAGTCGCTATTTCTTTTCCTCTCACCTAAACGCTACGAACGATTCTTCTCGAAAATTCCTACGCCTCTCCGTGTTCTCGCTTCGTCGTCTGCGAATCGATTGAGGTATATCACTCTTCTCGAATCGATGCTTCTTCTGTGATAAAACCGATTCTCTCAGATCTATCTGATGAATTTGATGTTGTTATTCGTCGGGGTGATTTTGTTTACCTTTTGTTTCGATTTTTTTTTTCTATCACGAGATCTATATCTTGTTTCCTCGATATTGAACAATAGATCTGCCTCTGCGCCGATTTTTGAATGGACCATTTTTAGGAGCCGGTGTATATGTATGTTATTTTTGTGCGAATTAGAAGAACGAAACGAAGTTTATATGCGGAAATCACCATTGTTTAGCTATCCAGATGTTTTCGTGGCTTTATAATCAATTTGTGTCATATATAAGCTAGCTGATGTTTGTTTTTTTGTTTTTTTAAATTCAGGAGCTCAGTTTTGTAATGGTTTATGAGATTCATTGGCTAGATTATGATTGATTAAACTTCATTTCAATCTCCCTAGTACTGTAGCTTTAAACTGATATGTGCTTTATCTCTTGTTACCATAAACGAATCAAACTTATATCTGATCAATTGACAAATTGTGATATATAATACGTACACATATACAAGCTTGAATCCACTGTTTCGCCTTTTACATTTTTGCAGATTCCATAGACTTCCTACTCTATTTATTTCCTTGCTACATGAATTTTGTTGGTTGATTATGTTTAATCTCTCTACTATACATGAGATGGTAATGATTTACATGATAACTTCAGGTTAAGTATGTCAAGAGCCACGTACATAATCGGTGCCCTTGCAGGATCTGCTGTAGTAGCCTACGTGTGTGACAAAGTCATTTCTGATAATAAGCTATTCGGAGGCAAGTTTAATTTGGAAAAATAGAACTACATAAACTTAGCTATCAATGATCTATAGATACGCTAAATCGTTTTTTTTTTTTCAAAACTCAGGCACTACTCCAGGAACTGTTCTAAACAAGGAATGGTCGGCTGCGACTGAAGAGAGATTACAAGCATGGCCAAGAACCGCTGGTCCTCCAGTCGTGATGAACCCTATCAGTCGCCAGAACTTCATCGTCAAGTCACGCCCTGAATAAGTGTTTCTGTTTCTGTGCATCGTTCTCATTCGTTATGGATTCATTACAATATTTGCGCTTTTGTTGGCCTTTGCTTTGATTTTGAGGATCCGGCTATTTTCTCTAGCTGGTTGTAGTAATAATAATTTGTGGGGATGGATACACATTATTCAGTCCAAGCTTTTCGAGATGCATTGCTTTCTGTAATGTTTGTTGATTTTGACGATAAATGAAATCGAGCCAACAGCTATTTCTCATTTTTGCTTTCATGTAGCTCAAGGAAATGCATCCGGTTTAGGCAGAGAAGTTTGAATTTTGTCCTGTCTATAGTTTGGAATATTTTTACGGAATTGGAACCGAGGCATTTTTTTTCTGTTTTTCGTCATTTGAACCCGAGTATTTATGTCCCTTAGTTTGTTTTTAAGAAAAAAATGGGTTTTGGCTCTGGACGAGTTGGTTTGGTTTTAGGTAAACAGAATAATATAGTGAACCATAACCTAAATTTGTTGTTGTTTCTCTATGTTGACCTGGTTTCATCCCAATAATTCTTTCAAAATAGCACCCACAAAAAAAAATAGTAATATTGATAATATCCTTTTTAATAAGGTTTAACAAACTCGGTTCGGGTGCGGCTTAACTAATGTCCAGCCTTATAATCATCGGTCTACAACAAATAATTGAGCTCGATTCTAGACCGATCCCTAACCAAATCGAACCGGTGCAACTAATATCATACAACAACAAACATGTGAATGAGAAAGAAAATAAAATCCTGGAAAAAAAAAAAGAAAAAAAAAAACAGAGCCTAATTAATATGAACAAAAACATAATGTTTCTTTCTACCATTTCATTTTTCTTCATGTCTAGCGGCTGAGCCACCTTGCCCATCAGCTCCACTCTGGCTCACATCGGTCCCATCCTGTTTACCTCCACCACGACCATCATTCAGACCCGCTGTTCGTAGAGAAGGAATGTGAAACATCAGTAATTTAAAAGAAGGAAATGTGATAATAAGTTCAGAAACTGCTGAAGAACCCCATGAAAACAGAGGAGACAGGTTCGCTTACCGTTGTTTGCGCCAAGAGCAGTTCCAGAGGAGTGGTGCATCGAATGCTGCAGTCCACTGTTATTAGTGAAAGCCATTGGTCTAATCCCCATGTGCCCTTGCATAGCTTGTTGATGTAACTGTTGCTGCGGATCTTGAAGCTGATGCAGAGTACCAAATTGCAACGGACCTCTTGGAGGGAAAAGCCCGGGCGGTATTGGTTGAGCCATTCCCAAAGCTTGTTGATGCTGCTGCTGCTGCATGAAGTAGCTTGGCGGTGGCTGCATTGCTGATGGATGCGTAGCCATCTACAGTAATCATACACAAAAACGGTAATGAACCGGAATGTTAAATTTCCAAATATATGTTTTTATAAATCAAAACAGCAATTACTGACTGTTTGGGGAGTCATGGCTCCTGGTGTTGGTGCAGCTGCTGGTGGCTGAGGTTGAGCATCAGCGATTGCTGCGAGATACATCAAATTCTTCTGGAGAAGAGCTTGATACCTGAGGGATACAACGAACAAATCAAGGATGATTGTCTTTATTAATGAAAAGCTAAGGGATTGTATCTAAACATTGCCTACACTTACTGAGCACATTCTGCAAGTTTACCAAGGTTCTGATTTTCCAAGATCGCCATTATCAGCTTCTTGTTCTCATCAAGATACTGCACGAAGCAACAAACAAGATACCAAGAAAGAAATGAAAACCAAGCCTGCTTCAGAAATATCTACTCCTCTTACAATCAGATTCTAAGCTTCCAAGACCCACAAAGCATTTTTAATCTCATAGTTATAAAAAAGAAATGAGTCTTTAATCGCAAATGGGTTCATATCAATAAACAACAACAAAAACCACAGTAAACTTAAATTTCTAATTCCAGTAAAAACTTAAAGCGAAAAAGAATATTTTTAAGACAATTCCTAGTATCACCAATTACATACCAATCTATATTATCTCTCCCCCACGTAATCAGCTCAATCATACTCAATAAGGGAACTTCATAATAACAGACTATAATTTAAATTATATCAAAACACTGAAACACACAAACCATTTCAACGCTACCATAAACAGAAAAAACAACTGAAAACCAAAAAGACAGAAGAGAAGCAGTAAGGTAAAAACCTTTTGGATCTGTTCGGTGGTGATGTTGGTCGGCGGAAATGAAGAAGGAACCATCGGAATCATCTGTGGAGATTGCTGCATCTTTTTTGATTCACGACAATCAACTGAAACAGTGAAACCCTAAGTCTCTCCCCAATTCGAGACCTTCCCAAACGGAAAACTAATAAAATCAAAGTGATAAAGTTGTAAGCGCCGAATGCAAAAACACACTGGTGCAATATTCAACGAATATTTTGGATTATCCTGAAATTTAAGACTTTGTTTCGTTTGAATTTCGCCGACGGGGTTTTTCGGAAATCTCTTAAGACAAAAAAGTCCCCCAAAAATTAATTTGTCTCCCTCCCCCACCGAATTGTACACGTGGCGCTTTGTTTGATTTTTCGTCTGGTCTACGATAAAACCAAACCACATTTGAGAGCCGGTTCGTTCATTCAGGCCCACTAAAATAAGACTATAATGGGCCTTTAAAACAAATTACAAATAACGAAAACTTCTGAATCAATAAGAAGGTTACTCTAAGCTAGCTTCTTAGCGACGACGATAGAATCAACCGTCGTCCTCCGATTCAAGCAATCTCCGATCTCTATAGAAAGGGCAATCTACTAACCGTGGCTCCGGATATCTTACGACGGTTGTTTCCGTCTCGGACCCGAAGAACTGCCCCAATTTTCCCTTTGACCCGGCTGGAGATGAACCTTTTCCGGTTCTGCTCCGGTCTGAAAGTCCTCGGTTATTTCATGATCCTTCTCGTCGCTGGCGTCGTCGCCGTATCTTATTACTCCGTGATAGTTAGCACATGGTGGCCGATCTTAATCGAAAGCGGCCATGGAGCTCTCTCAGCCCTCGCCTGTTTAATCGTCTTTGTTTTCCATTTCCTGGTAATTTCAAGTCAAAAAAAAAAAAGGTCTTATCGTTTTAAATTAGGTTGCTCCAGCTTCGTCTCTGTAATTGAAGTTCTAGAGTTTTTCTGCTTAACCATAAACTGTAAAATTATTTAATGTAGCATGAAACCTGTAGTCGTCAATAGATTGAGAAATGCAATGGTCTTAATCCCCAAATGCTCCGAATTTTGCGATTAATTTATCAGCCATTAACCAGCTTAGATACATATTCTGATGAGATGATGCTTGCTTGTAGTTGATGATGCTGTTGTGGAGCTACTTCACAGTAGTATTTACGGACCCAGGTTCTGTTCCTGAGCATTTCAGAAGAGAACTTGAGGGTGACAATTTGGAGGCGGGTACTTCGACAGATCGGGGAGCTTTTAGTTCTTTAGGTTACTGTCCCAAATGCCGGAATGTTAAGCCGCCTCGTTGCCATCATTGTTCTGTTTGTAAGGCAAAACCCAATTTGTATACTATGTTCTGCTTAATGTATGGTTTCTAGTGATAAAAATGAAAGCTTTACTCAGTTTATGTTTTCCTTATGCAGGTCAAAGATGTGTTCTCAAGATGGATCATCACTGTGTTTGGATTGTCAATTGTGTTGGAGCCCGCAATTACAAGTTTTTCCTTCTTTTTCTGGTAAAAACCTCTTTCCATTAAAATCTTGTGGTTCGAGAAATAATGTTTTGGGTGGATTACTCAATGTTGCTGATTTCTTCGTTGTTTTTTCGATTTGTAGTTTTATACGTTTCTTGAGACAATGTTGGACGTTGTAGTCTTGCTTCCTAGTTTCATCAAATTCTTCAGCCAAGCTATGAAACATTCTTCCTCCCCGGGTAAACTGGCCTCCCTCGTTCTGGCATTCGGTGAGTATAGAACTAGAACGGTTCTTTTTCTTGCTTTCTTTTCCCCAGGAAGTGCTTAGCTTTCTTTTTTTGCTCATTTTCCGTCTTTATGTTTCTTACAGATTCTATCCCCTTGATGCAGTTCTTAACTTAGCATTCGTTCTCAGCCTTCTCTGTTTCGTAGTCATGCATCTCTCTCTTCTCTCGACAAACACTACTTCAGTCGAGGTAACTCTATTTTGCTGGCTTCGACAAACAAAATCTAAAGCTTGAACATGCGATTCTCTTCTCTGAATCATCGTCTTGGCTTTTAGGTTCATGAGAAAAATGGAGAAGTCAGGTGGAAATATGACTTGGGAAAAAGGAAAAACTTCGAGCAGGTGAGGCTTCTTGTGGTCCTTTTGTTTTCATTATTCCATAGAATATCTTAGTTAAATTGATAAAAAAAACTCTTTTCATTTGTTGCCATTTTCTTGTGGTGAAGGTTTTTGGGAAGAAGAAGGCGTTTTGGCTCCTCCCATTGTACTCTAAAGATGATCTCGATAACATAACTTCACTTCAAGGCCTTGAATTCCCGACTCGTTCTGACATTGACCCTTGATTGAAACAAAAATCAATCAAACATGGTCGCAACTTTGTATAAAACTCTCTTCTCAAAATGTATTTCTGGTAGTACATTACATTGTTGTAATAGTGAAAATTTGATTTGTGATTAAATTCTTTTCAATGTGTGATCTCCACCAAAACTCTGTTAATTTCACTTTCCGGGATTTTTCATCAAGGATAAGCAAGATACGACGACGTTGACCTGATTTATTTATTAACGCCCGTTAAGCTTAAGTATTGTGATTGTGAAGCTTGGCCTTCACGACTACTAGAGTACTACTATTGCAACCCTACCACCATTTTCTTCTTCGCCGTTATCTTGCTGTTAGCCGGAGATTTTCTTATGCAGCTTACCGGTCTGAAACTCGACAGGCTCTCCGAATACGGCGGCAAGATTTGTCGGTTTGGGTTTCCTCTGCCTCGTTTGAATTCAATTGTTATGTTTAAATGAATTTAAGACGATAATAAAGGAAAACTTATAGAGTTCCTCTGTATTCATAACATCAACCCAAAAATGAGATAGATACATTTGAATTTTGTCGTGGTTTGGAGTATGCGGAGAGAGTGCTACGCGCATGAACATCAAGAGACACTTGCTTGAGCTCATAGAGTGACGTGTAAAAACAATAGACCCACGACTTCATGCAAACTCAATCCTTCGTGGCGCAAACCTTCATGCTCAGTCCACAGTATATAAACTCCTTCTAAGCCCCGTTTCTCTTCATCCATATCTCACAACAAACAAAAAGAAGAAAATGGTTAAGCTCTCTCATCTCCTCGTCGCAACTTTCGGGGTTCTCCTCGTCCTTAATGGCTGCCTCGCAAGGCAATCGCTAGGGGTTCCTCCTCAGCTGGGGAACGAGTGTAACCTCGATAACTTAGACGTTCTTCAGGCCACCGAAACTATCAAGAGCGAGGCTGGTCAGCTCGAGTACTGGGATCACAACCATCCTCAGCTCCGATGTGCTGGTGTCTCTGTCTCTCGTCTTGTAATCGAACAAGGCGGTCTCTACCTTCCTACCTTCTTCACCTCCCCCAAAATTTCTTACGTCGTTCAAGGTCCATATCTATCATACTCACATAACAACCTTTCCAATCAAATATGTATATATCACGTTAATGAAGACAATCTTCTGACCCCATATTTATCTCTCTTTCTCCTTTTTTTTTTCCTATAAAATTATAGGAATGGGTATTAGCGGAAGAGTGGTCCCTGGATGTGCGGAGACCTTCATGGACTCGCAGCCTATGCAAGGACAACAACAAGGACAGCCATGGCAAGGACAAGGACAGGGTCAGCAAGGACAACAAGGACAACCATGGGAAGGACAGGGACAACAAGGACAACCATGGGAAGGACAGGGACAACAAGGACAACCATGGGAAGGACAGGGACAACAAGGACAACCATGGGAAGGACAGGGACAACAAGGACAACAAGGGTTCCGTGACATGCACCAGAAGGTGGAACATGTCCGACATGGAGACGTCATTGCCATTACCCCAGGCTCTGCCCATTGGATCTACAACACCGGAAACGAGCCACTTGTTATCATCTCACTTCTCGACATTGCCAACTACCAAAACCAACTCGACCGCAACCCTAGAGTAATCATATACACCGACAATCATTCACAATTAGAAGATCTACCAAATCATTTTAGCTAATATACAAGTTCTGCATTTGTAATTCTGTGCTATAGGTGTTCCGTTTGGCCGGAAACAACCCACAGGGTGGTTTTGGTGGTCCCCAGCAACAACAACAACAACAGAACATGCTGAGCGGTTTCGACCCTCAAGTGTTAGCTCAGGCATTGAAAATCGACGTTAGGTTGGCTCAGCAGCTTCAGAACCAACAAGATAACAGAGGAAACATCTTCGTGTCAAGGGACCTTTCCAGGTTGTGAGGCCGCCTCTTAGACAGTCCTACGAGAGCGAGAAGTGGAGACACCCAGGTGGCCAACCACAAATCCCACAAGACAACGGCCTCGAGGAGACTATCTGCAGCATGAGGACCCACGAGAACATTGACGACCCAGCCCGTGCTGACGTGTACAAGCCCAACCTCGGTCGCGTGACCAGCGTCAACAGCTTGACATTGCCCATCTTGCAGTATGTTAGGCTCAGCGCCACCCGTGGCATTATCCAGGGTGTAAGTACAATTAATATAAATATAGATCATACATTAAGAATATTACTAAATATATTTTTAAAAATTATTCATCAGAAGTATTAAATCAAAATACACCTATTGTATATACTAAGAAAAGCAAAAGTCATATCCATATTACTTATAGATCAAAATAAAATATTTAAATTGTGTATTTAATTCATATATAATTTGAGTTTTCCTTGTCAGAAAAGATAAAAACCGTAGGCTAGCTATATGTATGTGACAATGACGAGCATGGTCTAACGAACATTATTTCAGAATGCGATGGTGCTTCCAAAATACAACATGAACGCGAACGAAATCTTGTACTGCACTGGAGGACAAGCGAGGATTCAAGTGGTGAACGACAACGGACAGAACGTGTTGGACCAGCAGGTGCAGAAAGGACAGCTTGTGGTCATCCCACAAGGATTTGCATACGTTGTCCAGTCCCGCGGAAACAACTTCGAATGGATTTCTTTCAAGACAAACGCTAACGCGATGATCAGCACTTTGGCTGGTCGAACCTCGGCCTTGAGGGCATTCCCACTAGCGGTCATAAGCAATGCTTACCAGATCCCTCTCGAGGAAGCTAGAAAGATCAAGTTCAACACGCTTGAGACCACCTTGACTCATGCGCGCGGTGGGCAACAGCAGTTGATCGAGGAGATAGTCGAGGCTTAAGTTAAAACGTTTTCTTTTTACTAATAAAGTAGCGACATGGTTGCTATTGTAATGGTCAGTTTGTTGTAATCATGCCCACTCTAAGCTTTTAACGTATATGTAAAATATGTGTCTGATGAACACACCGGCACGTCACTTGTATGTAACCCTTTCTCATCAATAAAAGGGGAGTTTAGAGTTACATTCTCTGGTGATGAGTTGTTTTGTTTCAACTCATCCTCTCTATGAGCCCGATGGCCGTCAAGGGTCGGTCAGTGAACAGCCGCTGGAGTTATGGCAGTTTCGTGTCGCTAGAGTTGTTGATTCGCACCACCAATAATCTTCGAGTCGATCGAACAGTTTATGACTCGCGGGTTAGTTCACTGTAGACAGCAGTTTTAAGCAGATACATCACCAGCACAAGCAACGAATCGACCGGAATACATTATATTTTATTTTAAAATATTAGTTTTAGTTTTAACTTTGAAGACAAATGCTTAAAATTATAATACGAAATTTTCGTTAAGATAACTATAATGTATCATATATTCATATTTGCATTTCACTCATGAACTTTACAATAAAATTGTGGTCAAATCCCTTTCAAAATTTCACACATACCTATTGCAATATATTATTTGTAATTTATAATGGACTTTAATGCTTTTACATTTTATCGAGGTTACGCTATTGTGCATTATGATTTATGTGGCCTGAAGGAGGCCCAAACTAGTTCGCTTCCGCCAGGTTTGGAAACGGGGTTTCGAGTATCCTTATCTAATCCTCATGAATTACCCAAATTCTTGAATAGAGAGGATACAGACTAAATAATTGTAATGTTATTGTATTATATATATGCAAATATTACAAAATTTTAAAACTTTTTTTAAAAAAAATTATTGCTCAAGTACTCCTAAAATTTTCTGTGATTTTATGTTAATACGTTAGGTTCAGGTCAGCTGCACATATGATATAGCTGCTAATGCTAGCGAAACTCCGATCAAAACTCCGAAACATATATATAATTAACAGGCTGTAATCGGGTAAGAAAATGATTTGGAAATTTCTGTGGTTTTAAATATGATGGGCTAACAAAATTGTTTGCGTAAAAAGAGAAAGAAGCCCATAAGGCCCATTTAATAGTAATTTTGGAGATAAATAAAAAATGGAACACATATTCCTCTCTCATCCAGACCAGATGTCTTCTCTCTCCTCTCTCTCTCTCTCTTCTCTCTCCTCTCTCTCTCAATCGAGCAGCTTTTTGAATCGGCCGTAGGTGAGAGACGAAAGGTGGTTTCAAGAACAAGGCCTAGGTTGTTCGAGAAGAGAGATTCTTTTTTTTTTTTTTTGAATATATAGAAGAGAGATTCATGTACCGTGCGTCCGCTCGCAGAGGCTAGGATCCTCATCCAAGATTTGATTTTCCTTCGACCCAGTGCAGATGTGCAGTTACACGGTTATTCCTCCAATTTCAATTTTTGGCCGTTCGATCATATCCCTTGTCATCCAAGGGCGTGGGTTGATTCCATTTTCAAATACCGTACAAGTTGATCTCAGTTTCCATTCGAGTTCCTTTCCAGTTAGACGGTTAGAGCATGGATTCAAAATCTACCGTTGGATCATAGGCATTGTCATCCAAGGGCGGTGAATTGCTTTCCATTTTACCACACCGTGTATCTGAATCGCAGCTGATTCCAGTTTCAATTCGAATTCAGTCCCAAATTCAGATATTTTACCATGCGCCTAGAGAGGTATATATATTCTTCCCACGGCTCCAATACAGTTCCATACTCTCTTAATTTGTTTGTTTTTACACATTTTCTCACTAATTTCTCTCTCTCTCGAGCTTTTTCCATCGTCAACAATGGCAGAGAAACTTCAGAGCTGGACTCCCATCAAGGAAGCGATGGAGGAACTCTGGGCGGCGTTTCTCCTTCCACCGAGAGGAAGTCTGAACTTGTTCTGCACAGTTATGATGGATCATGAGGACAGATTCCCAGCTGTGTAAGATCTTTGATCCTCCCTCTCTCTGTTGATATTCATATTTCAAATTGCTATTTACCTTTCAGATTGCTATCTATTCTGTTTTGATCACTCTGTTTCGTCTATTCTGATTTTTTTTTATCACTCTCTTTCATCTATTCTGATTTTTTTATCACTCTCGTTCAGTTTTCTGAAGAATTTTCTCCAGATGTTCAACTCTATCAGAGGATCACCTCCGGATGATGATCTCTCTGACTCCCTGACGAAGATCATACAAGAAACAGACGTATCTGAGACTCTGAGGATGATCATAAAAAGGAGTGGTGAAGAAAGGAGCGGTCAAATCGTATGGAATTCCAAGGACGATGCAGCATATGAGGTTTTTTTTTTATTCGATTTTAAGTTTTAACCATACGATTTGCTTTTATTTTACTCTCTGCTTCCCTCAGATCTACTTTGTTACCATTTAATTGATTTCTTTATTGTTTTTCCTACAGTTAGTTTGTTTTGTAGCTTTGATTTATTTTCCCAATTTTGTTATTAATTTTGTTATTTTATCTCCTCAGGTTCCCCGAAAGTTGATGGCGAAACAATTTCATCACGTCAAGGAGCAGATGAGGAAAAGAGAACGAGAAAGAAAGCAGAAGAAACAGAAGGCAGCGCTGGTGGAAGAGAATGTTGAAGAGGAGACCCCCACAACTGAGGAAATTGAAGCAAATAAACGGATGTTCAGGAAGCAAATCGAGGATTCTACTAAGCAGTATGAGGAAGCACAGAGGGGAGCTTTTGCTGAGACCTCCTTTGACCGGAAGCTAGGCAAACTAATTGCATATTGTAAAAACCATGAGAACCGAACCAAAAATATCGGGAAGCGCGAGTAATTTCGACGTCTTGGCGCGCAATTTCCTCGTCTTGGGTTGCTCAACACTTTTTTAATTTTCTTTTATATCATATATTTACCTATGACTACTTTTAGGCCACTTTATTATATATCATACTTATTTACCAATCTATCGTTGAACTATAGTATTATATTTCTATATATATGTTGACTATCTGCTGTCGAACAACAATGTTATATTTTCTGCTGTTGAATAACAATAGTATTATATTTCGCTGTTTACTATCTCATACTATATTCCACTGTTTACTCTCTACCCTCGAACAATATTATAAGATTAAGACAAAAAAATAATAGCAATATTAACAAAAAAAACGAATAAAGGAAAAACAAAAAAGCTTGGATCGTGAATGGCTTCGGCAAACGTGATTTCAATAAAGCAAATATGGAGTCAGATTGATGGGTAATATAATCTGTAAAAGCAAAGCAACCAATCGTCATATATCATAAGAACAAGAATAGATATGTAGTCGATAGGTTTTAACACATTTGTGTGCCTTTTTAGCCACTTATAACCTTGTAATTATTATATATTATTGTTGTTGTTACTGAAGCAGGTTTCTCATACGCCTGATGTGGTTCCTCGGCGTATGGAACTATTTCTTTGCTCTGCAAAACGATGCATTGCTTTAATTCTAGCCAATCTATTTGGACGAATACTACACTTACACAGGTATCCTTTATTCCTCTACTTCTTAACTCTCCAGTCGACTCATAGCCATACGTCCATATCCTGCTGTTGTCCCATTTGATTGAACTGCGGAGTCTTGGTAGGATCCGTGATCCAAGTTTCTTTGTGTTTGATGCAGTCCTTGTAGATATTTCATAATTTTCAGTATGTATATGGAATTAATTCATGTTTTATTCTTGGTAGTTAACATCTCTAAATACTCCTGTATCGTGGGTTTGATTGCTAATAATAATTGTTTTACCCAACTTCAAACGCATTAATCTATCCTTTGCATTTCTCTTGGCAATTCATGATATTGATACAACGCATTTTCAGTATGTATATGTGGATGTTGTTATTAATTCGTTTGAATTGGAAAAAAAAATGTTGCTGATATTGTTAGGTTATGTGATGATGAATTGTCAACAGCTGAGGAGGAGCCTATTGACAAAGTTGAAAGTCGAAACTTGAAACCAAGTTTTACATGGTTATGATTGATCAAAAGACAAAAACCTCGATATTCGGAATCTATCATCGCTGCATATGTTTTTCCAATGCTTACTGTCATTAGATAATATTTCCTTCCATAATCTTTATCGGTCCATTAGATATTTCCTTCTATAATCTTTATTGGGCCATGGTCTTGTTCTGATCATTACAACAACAAATAAAGGTTTTTCACCTGGTACGCACGTAATTACATGATGGCGGCGCATACAACCTAAATATAAAACAGAAACTGAAATTTAATTACTAATTAATGCTTACGTCCCACATTCCTATCCTTTAAAATCCGTTCAATATTTTGTTATATGTTTTGTTACAGACATACGTGGAGAAGGCATCGTATGTTCAATCGAAGCTATACAAATGGGAAGGAGACGCAAGAACGTTCAACAAAACTGGACCGTACATCGAGATGGTGACATCACCGAACAACCCTGATGGGACCATCAGAGAGCCGGTGGTGAACCGTACGGAGGGTTGGAAAGTGATATACGACTCGGTAAATTATTGGGGCCACACTACACTCTCCATCACTCGCCGTCGTCAAGACCACGACCTTCTGCTCTTCACCTTCTCTCAGATCACCGGTCACGCTGGGTCCCGTATCGGGTGAGTCAAACTAACCACTTACAACGGCGCCGTTCTTTTCTTTTTTTACTCTATTTATGTTTATGAGACAAACGTATCCGATCCGATCGAGTCATTTGAACTTTTCAAGTAGTAAGTGATATTACTCACCGAAACTTGTCGGAGAGCTTCTACGACTATGGTTACGAGAAGATGAGGTCACGGTGGGAGAGGGTACGATAGGTCGTAGAGTCTGGTGACACATTCACTTTACCTAATACCCGCAAGCCTTTTGCAACTTCTTTGGCAAAAATAACTCGACTTATCCTGGTATTAAACCACAAACCTTTGACCAAAAAAAAAAACCACAAACCATTTTGTGTGTGTTGAATTTGTGACGGTCTTAGTCGTCCACTAACGTTTTGTGATATTGAAATGGTTGGGGTGCAAAGACGAGAGAGATCTCTGAAGTCTCTTCAAGGAAAAAAAGGTTTCGACGAGAGGAGAAGACCGATGTGGCTGTGATAAGAAGTACGTACGCGTCAGCATGCTTAGCCGCGACGATGACTTTGACGTCTTTCTCCACAGACTTGCCACCATCAAGGATTTCAAGTGCATTGAGCCTTAATTTATTGTTTTTTTTTTTCTTACTCATATGACATTTCAATAATGGTTTTCTTTTAGTAATGTTAAGCACAATATGTATGTATAATTAAGTGGTGTTTTCCTTTTCTCTCAATTTACTACCTTATTATAACGTTAAAGGTTGTGGTAAAATCCCTTTCAAAATCTGACACATATCTATTGCAATATTTTAATTGTCTTGTAATTTATAGTGGAGTCTAATGCTTTTCCATTTTAATTGTTAGAGATTATATGGGCCTGACGGAGGCCCAATCTAGTTCGCTTCCGCCAGGTTTGGATACGGGGTTGCGAGTATCCTCATTTAGTGTAGTGTGTGATTAAGCTTAATACGCCAAACAGTCCTTAAATAATGAAGGCAAAAGAAAAGACCACATGACTGTCTGAAACATATTTTTCTTTTCTCCCCCCCCGGCCAAATACTCTACTTTGGATTTAAATCTCTCCCGAAGAAAAGTTCGATTGTGCCTATCCACATCCAAACTCGCTAAAACAAACTTCAGAGGAACAACCCACGAAAATATTCACAGAATTTATTAAATTAAAGGTTATTCGGGCCCAAACGCCAGTTAGTTTTGGGCTTTTCGAATATGTCGTTTATTCCTCGCATCTTGTAAATATTTTTGGTTGTTAATAAAAAATAATAGAGAAAATTATCTAGGATAACCCAAAAAATATCATGATTAGCTGAGATAACCCATCAATTTTTTATTACTCACATAACATGTGTTTTCTTAATATTTTACATCAGTTCCGAAATTGCCTTTATGACAATTTTGAATAAATTAGTTATGAAAAATTTGAATATTATTTTTCAATTATTATTAGATATTAAAAATCTTTCCAAATTTTAATTAAGATAAATATTTAATGAAAAAAAATCTGAAAGTATAGTTTATCCTAAACCACAAAAGAATTTTTTAGTCTACCACTATTCGTAAACTTTATCCTAATCTGCCAAATCTCCGCAGATATAACATAAATATACCAGAATAACATTTGAAGTCTATCACATAAATACATAGTTTAAGTTAGTCTTACGATTATAAACCAACAATATACAAGTCCACCGGTTTGGATTTTCTAATCTGCCACAATTTGTAGACTTTATCTTAGTCTGTACAATCTCAGCAGATATAACACAAATCTGCCAGAGTAAAAAATGAAGTTTAACATACATATGCATATTTAAAGTTAGTCTACCGATTATCAGCAAAAAACATACAAGTCTACCCATTGGAATTTTTTAGTCTGCCACAATTGGGAGACTTAATCCTAATTTGTTAAATTTCTGCAGAGTAAAAATCAAAGTCTACCATACAAATGCAGATTTGCCGATTATCAGCAAACAACATACAAGTTCACTGGTTTGGATTTTCTAGTTTACCACAGTTTTTATATTTTCTCCTAATCTGCCAAATATCTGTAGATGAACACAAATCTGCCGAAGTAACATTTGAAGTCTACTATATAAATGCTGATTTTAAGCTGATCTACCTATTATCAGCTAACAAAATATAAGTCTACCGGATTTGCATTATAAATCTACCAAAAACTTGTGGATTTGTCAAAATACACAAACTTAAAAACGTATCAATTTGAAGTCCACCGAAATGTGAAATATTCCATTAGTTATGCTTTTCAAAGTATGAACAAATGAGTAAATTATTTTTTTTAACTATTACCTTTTTAGCAAATAAATTATATGTGTAAGGGTAATTTAGGAATAATATCTTCAAATAATCTTCAAAAATCTAGAGAGGTTATCATAGTTATTTTTCATATTTTTGGGGTTATTGTGGCAAATGTCCCTAAAAAATAAGAGGAAATCACACCCCAAAAAAATATATGAGGAAATTGAGGAGAAAAAAAAATCACAAATTCCCTTTAAGCTGTTATTCTCTTAGGGTTTTGCCTCCTGAAGATGCTAGACACAGCCGATAATTACGATGCGAGAATTGAAGAGATTGAAGACCGGATCAGTGCTTTACCCGAAGAATTGCTTGTGATGATACTCTTGTCTATCCCGATTAAAGAAGCAGTAGCGACCATGATTTTGTCTAAGCGATGGCGTTTTATGTGGACGATGTTGCCTAAGCTTGACTACAAAGAATACGATGACGAGAGCAAGAATAGCGTTTGGTGGTTTCTTGACAAATCATTGCAAGTCCATAAAGCACCTGTCTTAACTAACTTGTTTATGCAACTCGGTCGATGGTGTCCATCAGATGCTGATGTGGGAAAGTGGGTTGCGAAAGCTGTTGATCGCGGCCTGGTTTTTCTAAAATTCGAGCTCCGCTGGTCCGCAGAACCAACCAAATTGCCCATGACCCTTTACTCTTGCAAATCTCTCGAGATACTGACTCTTTCCCACAAGGTTCTTGTGGATGTTCCTTCTTCCGCCTGGCTCCCATCACTGAGAGTGCTCGAACTAAACCGTGTGGTTTATAAAAACGAGGATTCTCTCATTAGGCTCTTATCAAGCTGCCCCATTCTCGAGGTTATTTTTGTGACACGGGAAAAGGATGACAATGTGAAAAAGTTCACTGTGAAAACTCCTTATTTATTGGACTTATGGTATAGTAATGATAATATATCGGACAATGATGTCGAAGATACAGATAGTTGTGTGGCTATTGATACACCAGCATTAACATGCTTAGACATCAACGATAATTCAGGAAACTATTGGTCGATTGAGAATACGCCTTGTTTGGAGGAAGTGTACATCAATGTTGATCGGTCTTTCCCTAATGTTGACAAGTTCTTAAGATCTTTCTCAACAGTCTTATTTCTTGAGTTGATTTTGACTGAGAACATGGTAATCTATCTCTCTCTCCCCCTCCCTTTGTGATCACATTGTTGTATCTACGTATGACGTTTTGACCATTGCAGATTGTGTGTTCTAGCACCATCAAATTCTCTCGACTGACAAAATGTAAGATATTTCCGTGTGACACAAACTGGATGGGTTCATTTGTGTCTTTCCTTCATAATGCTCCGAAACTAAAGTTTCTTATAATTGATTATGTACGTATCCTCCTCACTAAAAATCTAATCAAGATGGGTATTTTAATGCATACTAATAGCAAATGTTGCTTTTCAGAAAGCAACCCATCGACCCCCGGTTACCTCTATTTCGTGGAGCGACTCGAGCTATGATCCCGAATGCTTATCATCAAGTCTGGAGAAGTTTGAGTTGATAGATTATGGCGGAAGGGAAGAAGAGCAAGAATTGGTAGAATACCTCCTAACCACCGCTAGATGTTTAAAGACGGCGACAATCTACTTGTCCACCTTAAAACTTGAAGACGAAGACATAACGATGGAGGAGCTGAAAGCTATTCAAAGGGTTTCAATAACATGCCAGCTTTTTTTCAAAACTTGACAGATATAGTTAATGTTAACAATATCTGTTATATGAGCAGCTTCAAAAATAGTATATTCGTATTCAGAAACAATAAACAATGCTAGATCAAATGATCAATCATCATGTTTTAGATTGTACGTGAACAGAAAATTAGATGTAGTCAAATACAGTCATATCAAGCCTCTTCATAGTTAGGATCTTCGATCTCCTCTACACAGTAACTTGAAGTTCAGTCATGAACTTTTCAATGAAATTGTGGTGAAATCCCTTTCAAAGTCTGACGCATATCTATTGCAATATTTTATTTGTCTAGTAATTTATTGTGGACTTTAATGCTATTATATGATACAAAGTTATGGAACGCGGAATAAAAAAAAAAAAAAAAAAAACTATTTTTTTTAATTGCTTTTGTTCCTAAAAGTAAAGAAAATATACTCAACTTTTTTTTAAAAAAGGATATATAATTGTCAAGTAACTTCTGTTATATACTATAAAAATTAGACACGCGAATAATGGATTGAGACTTTAATATTGATCGTTGTTCAATATTTTTTTAATATTACACATTAAAATTCTTGTTAAAATCATGTGTTTTTGGTTATATGATTTATAAATTTTAATTTAAATCACGTATTATTCAATTATACGGATTTACTAATGTATTTGATCTCACAATAGATTTTGGTGGATTTGCAAGAACTTATTTGTTAAAATATAGAGACTTAAATCCAATTTTTTTTTTTGAATCTGTATATACTTATTAAAATCAACATGTTACATTTTAAAATCAATAAATTTTACTTGGATTTATAAATCATTTACAAATTCTTAAATCAATTAAAATACATAATTGAATAACACTTTTTAAATCTTATTATGCATGTCTCTCTCTTCTTTATTTCTTAATACACTCAGATTCTGATCCAACATCAGCCGCATTGTTTAGACATAATTAATGTTTACAGTGAAAGTTGGTTGATTTTATAACTGTGTTTTGACTTTTGAGTTCGAGAATGGATCCTCATTAAGATCCTAATGGCTTTTTAATCTGCAATTTAGATTTACTTAAGAATTTTTCCAGACAACATTTATCTCATTGATTTGAAATCCATTTTAAAGTCTTCTAACTGACTTTTCAAGTATTTTCTTTAGTCACATCACTTACTACTTGGTTGATTCAATATTTATTATGTAACCCTTTATGCTATAAATGCCATTTTTGTGCACTTGCAGAGATTTTAATTTCTCCATGTTCAGATTCCCAGGTCATGAGGACAGATTCCGTTAGGTAAGATGTTTGATCCTCCCTTTTTGTTACATCTTTTGATATTTATCTTTCAGATTGCTAGTTATTGATCGATTCTGATTTTTGATCACTCTGTTTTAGTTTTGAAAAAATTGCTTATCTTTCATCGTACTCTGAAACAATAAACAATGCCAGATCAAATGATTCTCACTCTTTGCGAGTTATCTGTTTGATTCTCACTCTTTGCGAGTTATCTGTTTGATTCTCCCTCTTTGAGAGTTATTATCTCTTTGATTCTCCCTCTTTGCGAGTTATCTGTTTGATTCTCACTCTTTACTAGTTATCTGTTTGATTCTGACTCTTTGCTATCTTAGACTGATCTTCTGATTTCTGATCTCTTTTTCAAGTTTCCTTCCCACCTTCGTGGACATGTTCAATGCTATACGTGGATGTCCACCGATTGAAAAACTATCTGATCCACTCCAGGCGATCATCAAAGAAGTTGGAAAGAACGGTGATCTTGTGTGGACTCTAAACAGGATGCAGTTTATAAGGTGACTTTGATTCTGTTCATAGGTTTCTTTTAATTTGATTTAAGCTATACTACCTTCTTTTGTTTCCCTCCATTTAATTAAGCTTTTTCACTACGTGAGGGACAAGATTAAGAAAATAGAAAGAATACAGAGGAAGAAAGTTAAGGATGTATCGATGAAACAGAAGATTGAGACATGTTTTCATATTTTGAGCTCTCTCCAAAGCGCTATTGAGGATCTGTGGATCATCGTCCTCACTCCACCACAAGGTGAACTAAGGTCTCTCATCGCTGTTTTGATGATGGAAGATCAAAGGTTCTTGCCTGGGTAAGTAATTCTTTCTTATTTTGCTTCTTTTTTTGGTTGTTACTGTGTTTGTTGGAATTGATCTTTCTATGTTTTTTTTAGGTTTCTAAATGATTTTCTCTTTTTTTTTTTTTGAATTGAATCTAAATGATTTTTCTCGAAATCTATAATCACGCATGTGGATTAGACACTAGTGATCAAGACCTGATGAAAATTTTCCACGGGGTTGAATGGGATCCAAAAGATGATCTGGAATATGAGGTGAGGTTGGTTTCATAGATTTTGTTCAACTATGTTTCATAGTTTTTGTTTGCGATATGAGCATAGTTTCTCTTTATCTAAAGCGATATGAGGCTGTTCAATTGTTCACACATTTTTTCTTTTCAGTTTCCAAAATCGCTGATGCAGAATCTGTTTGAGGAGTACGAAGATGTACTGATGGGAAATGAGGAAGACATAATCACGGATGAGGTTATTGAAGCAAACAAGTTGAAGAAGAAGATGTCGATGCAATTGTCGTTTGATAACTATGTGGAAGGGAACAAGCTTGCTACTCGTGAAGGGAAATTTGGAAGAAAGGTCACCAAAAAAGAAGCATCTGCGAAAATCACCATCAATCGTCTGAAGAACACTGTTAAGAAGCGTCACTAGTAGAATGAGTTGAGAGATTTTATATACGTTGATGGCTGTCGGCTGATATATGGGAGAAACAAATGTATAAGCAAACCATTCATGGTTAGAGCCAGCCCGATAAATAAAAACAGACCCACACAATTCTCTCCCTAACTGTTTTACTAATATCAATTCTCGGTGGAGTAATATTGTTAAGAGCGATGAGATTTTGAAAATATTTTCTGATTATCTTTGGTACAGAAGTTTGCTCATGGTAGAAACTTCTGCTGCCTTTTGTTTGTCCTGCATCTCATCATCTTTTTTTTTTCCCTACAAATCGAAGAATTTCAATGGTTCAATGCTGGTTTCCGTATAAGAGCAAATGAAGCTGAACAACTCGCATAATCAGAAAGGTTTAAAAGACTTTTTGTATCAGTTCGCCCCCTTCCCACAAAACGTGGGCTTACTATGGTTAAAAGCCCAAGCTTTTTCATTAGATATTCATAATCTTGATTGAGCCATGGGCTTGTGATCTTTTCAAAATTCCAATCAAGGCTTTTGACGTAGTACGTAGGCAATTACATGATGCCGGCGCACACAAAACGTGTGCTTTTTATGAGCCATGACTATCTTAATCTAATAACTAACATTCCACTCCAAACCATTTAATATTTTAAACCAATTAATATTGCCATATAAAAATACAAAAAAAGATAGATAAAAATTGATTATTAAAATAAAAAATTGATTGGACCTGAAGGGTGTTGTTAGTCTGACTGAGAAAAGTATTATTAAGATTTCAGAAGAGATAAAGAAAAGTCCCATAATTTAAGAGAATAAGATCATATCACTTAATCCTATCCCCTCAGTAAAATCTGCTTATCAAACTAGAAACCGTAAGGTTTCGATTTCACATTTATAACACATGAGAGAGAGCTTTTTTTAAAGTTCTCAAATGAAACAAACTACAAACAAATTCTCCAATACAGCTTTTTCTACTTGCTTCTTTTTTCTATAGCTTGCTGGCTAGTAGGGTCGGTACCTTCGGCCTCCTCGGTTACCATCATGATCATGACTGCTCTCTCTCCCTGACCCTCCGCTTGAGCCGTTATTCCGGTCAACTCTTCTGGGTCGTGGTGGTGGTGCCATCTGCATACCAGGCTGTTGCCTACATAATATACACAAATATGGTTTTTTCTTGAGATACAGAAGCAAATGTAAAGATGAATTGAAAGAGAAGGATGACGAGATTTGGATTCAAGAAAAATTAACTTACAGAACATAGCCAACTCGGCCATCGGGAAGAAGCATTGGAACCATTTGCATCCCTGTTGGCATTGCTCCTCTACCATAGATCATTGGCTGCTCAATCCATAATTGAACTCAAGTTTATACAAGGTTGCTGATAAAGACTTTTTAGAGATGAGAAACAGGTCTTTTCATAGAAATATATATGTACCTGATTAAAACTACCGGCAATACCCAAACCAGCACCCATAGCACCATAAGGAGGCGCAGCAAAACCACCAAACGTAGGATGCGCAAAGGGAGCAGGAGTAGGTGTAGCTCCGTAAGAATAAGAAGAAGGGTCATGTTTCCTTTCCGCCTGGGGTTTAGCAAGCACAACTTCTAGCGGTTGACCTGTAGTTTGCAAGTTTGTGGGACGTGTTAGTCAATAACATCTCTTTAGACCAAAATAAACAAACGCTATTAAAGAGAAGTCATGACGTTCAAAGTTACTCAATCCCCATCTTCTGGATGAGTAAGAAAAACTTACCGTTGATTTCATATCTCTCGGAATCTTTGACAGCCTTCAATGCACTAGACCTTTCAGCATAGTGGACGAACCCAAAATCACGCTTTCCACCTTTCCCAGGAGGCGTGACGATTTTAGTCACTTCTCCATGCCTTTGAAAGAGTTCCTTTAGTTCCTCTGTTGAGGTATTCTCTGGAATGTTCTTCACATAAAGAGCTTTCACCTGAGCATATAGCACAATAGAGATTGTCACAAAAAAAAAGCGCTAGAGAGAGAGTTCTTGTGCAGATAGAATGAACCCTCCATTTAATTTGTACCTGAGCAGCAGCAGCTGAATGCTCAGGAGAGCTTTTCGGGTCTGCCCAAGTCACAGTTGGAGCGTTACCCTCAAGCTTAAAATTAGAATCTATCATTTTCTGTCTTGAGTAATCAGCACATGCAGTGTTATAGTATAACACAAATGCAAAACCACGGTTACGAGTGGAATTTGTTGGGTCCTACAGGCACCAAGAAGATAATTAGTAAGGGAATTAAGCAAAGATCAACCATGGCAATCAGATTGACTAAATCTTCTTACTTTTATGAGCTCGATGTTCTCCACTCCTGGACCAACATCCTCTATGACTTTTCTAAACTCATCCTCAGTCCAGCTCTTTGGGATGTTACCAATAAATAATCTATTCTTTGTTTCAGAAAGGGAGCATCTTATGGTTTTTCCCTGTAAAAAAGTTAGATATAGCCATATAGGTTAAACGGAAGTAGTTATGAGTACAATGTAAAGTGTAAACTAGCAACGATCAATAAGTTTAACGGTTGAGATTGCCTTAAACTCTTTACTGTGCAACTCCTCAATTGCCTTTTGTGCAACGTCTTTCGTTTTGAAAGCTACAAAAGCATAGCCTTTGCTCTCGCCAGAGTCCCTATCTTTCATCAGTCTCACCTGTAAAAGAAAAGTTAAAAGTCAGCCGTAAATACAAAGAGGATCATGCTAAATTGGACACATAGATTATTGCTGTTCCAACCTCGAAGATCTCGCCTAATCCTTCACATAGATCCCTCAGGTCCTCTTCTCCAACATCCCTTGGGAGCCCGCCAATGAAAACTTCAGAACCCTGAGGAGGAAGTGAAAGAAGATGGGAATACTTTTCCCTTTCTTCTTCATCAATAGGAGATGCAGATTTCTCTTCATCGTCCGCTGTCTCAATATCAATATGGTTATCGTCATCTTCACCTAATTCTTCCTGACCTTCTTCCCTATCCCCTTCTTTTCTATCACCATAATCCTCCACATCATGTTCTTCTGCAATTTGATTGCCACCATCATCACCCTCGTCGTCTTCTTCTTCTTCCTCTTCTTCATATTCTTCTACTTGTTCCTCCTCCACTTCATCCTCCATCTCACTGTAGCTACCCTCCTCGAAATCCACACGGTCGTCAACATCTCGAGCGTCTGACATGAGGTTCTTGCAAATGATATCTGGTCATCCAATAACCATACTTAAGAAACTGTTAACCTAGAAGCTCAGGTGGTAGCTGTTAAAAATGCAAAGAGCTTATAACGTATAGAAAAAGAGAGGCAGAATTGGATGGAATGAGAATTGCTCTTTTTCGTTTTCTTTCTACACTGAATAGGATTATAGGAGTGTTTGAAGTTAAGAAGAGATGAAAGGTAAAAACTAAATTTAGGTTCTTGAGGTGACAGAGATTCATCAGAATTGAACTGAGGCGTATAATGCGATAAATATGAAAACTTTGAAAAAGAGCAAATTTGTGTATTTGATTCCAGATCCAATTGCCGTTGATAAGCTCAGCTCATAAAGGAGTCAAATTCTTAAGAGAACAAATCAAACCATACCCGAAGCACCCAGTCAAATTCGAGATCGTGACTCACACATCTCACAGAAAACAAAATCGAGCAAATCTCACTATTTGAAACTAAAGAAAATCGACACCCAAAAGCAAATTACTCACCAGCTCAGCTCAGAAATAAAGGAAAAATCTGAACTCGAAACAGGCTCAGAAACTAGGGTTTATCGTTTTTTGTTTTGTTTTTTTTAGGGAGGGAACAAAATCGAAGAAGATGAGAGAAATCTACGAAACAACCAAAACAAATGTATAAGAAAAGTAGAAATGGAGAATTTTCTCGGCATACCAGACCGTGTTTGTTTTCGAATCGGATAAATTGGGAAATTGGTGTTTCGGGGAATTAGGGATTTCGCTTCGATATCCGACGAAAACTGTTAACTCAACTGGTCGGCTATTTCTCCATCTCCGGTGGAAGAAGACCCTTTACCACTCCTGGGCTGTGATCACATGTAACGCACCCACTTCACAACACTAAGAAAACGCTTTTTAAGGCCCATTTAGTTTCTATTGGGCCCATACCTTTCTAATTCTTCATTAGGCCCATTTGCGATCATCCGTGATTCGCCCAGCCCCGCTGTTTTTGTCGGGGAAGATGAAAACTGCTTGCTGTTTCGCGTCTCTCGCTTGACAGTTGACACATTTTTTTTAACGTCTTCTATCTCGCTTGACTTATATTTTCAACTTCACAACATTTTTGGTCAGGTCTCAATTATTTATTTCAACATTCTTTTTTCTTTTGTCGTCTGTTTCAAAATTCTAAGAAACTCAATTGATGTAAAAAAAAAGGAAACTCAATTAACGCTTTATGGTGTTCATTTGTCTACAAATCATACACTCATACTGTATAATTATTAAGTAATAAACTTGGTAGTGATATTAATACAACAAACTTGGGTCCAACTGATAGACTTCATGGTTTTTATTTATTTTGTTTGCTATAATTAAAGAAGCATTTATCTTAGGTGGATGTGGAGTTGTGTGTAACGTCGAAGACAAGACTGATAGTGTTGGAATCATGTCACATGGGTGATGTTCTTTGCTCGTGTCTCAAGTTGCAAAGTTGCAGCTTTTTTATTGGTCATTTTTGCATTAAATTAATAAAAAAGGTAGCCAGAGGAAATTTCTGTTATCAATTACTTATTTCAAAAAATGCCATCATTGCTTTTAAGTTCAGTAACTAAATAATATCATAACATAAATAAAGATAGTAAGATCATGATTTGTAGTTGATAGTCTAATTGCAATCATTTTTTTTTAAAGTACAAATACCTATGAAACCCAACATATTTATATAGAGATTAATTAGTTACATGATTACATTTCCAATCTTCATTTTAAAGCTACAAAAAAAAGAAACACACCCACACTAAAAAACACATGATACACCAATCTTAAAGCTCATCAACACAAACTACAAAAGTCATCGTTCTTTTTTTAGTCAAAATATTATTTATATTATATATAGGAAAAGAACTATTTGAAAATGAGTAAGTAAAATTCATGACCGTTGATTTTTTTTGAATCATCTTAACCATCGCCTATAATCACTAGTAGAAGCAGGTGAGATCTCTCCTCCACCACCAAGAGACTCGGTACAACAAGAAGAGTAATTTGATTGTTGCTCCAATGCACCCAATTGTGAACCTCCTATACTCTTGAAACTTGGACTCCTTAAACTCTGGCTGTTACTATTACCATAATACCCTCCTCCAACCTCCACTGGCGGCTGCGGTGGAACCGGAAACGAGAGCCGTTTTCTAGCTGACCCAGTACGGTCTTTCTCAGGCGTTGAAGGCCGTTGCCTCGGTGCGCTTTGAGACCGGATTCTAGCCTTTGCTGATTCCGTGATCGCCATGTAATTCGGCAATGCAGCGTTTGAAGTCGTGGTCGTAGTAGCGGTACAAACGCTATAACCGCTTCTTGCGGTGAAACTATAGTTAGACCTCAAGCTAGGTGTGTTCGATGTGTAGTTGTAAGCTGACCGGTCGTCTCTTTGAATCCGTGGACTTGCGGACCGGATTTGTATCGGTCTTGATTTAGCCGGAGACGGTGTAGCTGATGAGAAATTGTGTGTTTGTTGTTGTTGTTGGTTGTAATGATGGCTGGTTCTTGAGGGTGAATTAGGCCTTTGGCTACTACGGCTTGGACTCGCTCCGGTTCTTGAATAACCGCGGGTTAAATACGGTTGAGAAGTATCGATTTCCACGGTTTTGTAAACCGGTGCTCTTTGATCCGTTGAAGCTCGTTTATCCCACGGTTTAGAAGACATCCATCGGTCTAACCATTTCGGTCTCTCTTCCTCTTCTTCCTCGTCTCCCATAGATTGACTACCTCTCGTTCTCCGAATCTTACATCAGCAATCAAACCAAATCAGACACTGTAATTAAACGGTATACAAAAGAATCAATTTTGAGGCTTTTTAATTTACCTGATGAGAGAAAGCTTGTGATAAACTGTTATTGTTACTCTCTCGTCTCAACGCAGTGTCTCGTCTTTGTTGCAACATTGCTTTCACTTCTTCAATCGTGTGTGGTCGCTCATCCCAATCTTCCGCGATGCTGCTTCCTTCTCTTGACTATACAAGAACCATTAAAAAAGTCATTGGCTAATTGCTGAGACAGAGCAACAATGGTGTTTGGAATCTTTCTAGATCTTCTTACCATGGATCTTCTGTCTGAAATGTCTTGAAGATAACGAGATTCAAGGACACTGTGAGTGTCACTGAAAGCAGATTTGCGACTACCGTCGTGAGACAAGCGTTTACGTTGGTCAAGAACACGTGACTGGACTCGAACCAGAGCTTGCATACACCTTAGTGTCATCTTTGCTTGCTTCCTCACATTGTGACCTCTCACTAGTGCTTGTAACTTCACTAACCCTTTCAATGCTCTTAATGCTCTTCTTGCCTAAATCAAATCCCAGTTACCGTTAATTACTTTTAGTATTAAACATGAATATTAATGAGTTAGTTATGTTGTAATTAGAACAAAATCTGCTCACCAGATAACCTCTGAAACCTGTTTGGATGACAATAGCTGCGTTGTTTTCTCTTGCGGTATAAGTCCGTCTTGCGAGAATTGGTAACTCCGTCGTCGGAGGGTGAGTTTCCGATGCGGCGGAGACGGTGGCGGGCGGTTTAGATACGGCGAATCTCTTTTCTGAAACAGAGGATGAAGCAGTTGTGTTTGTCACCGCCGTTTTGGTAGGTGTCGGTGCAGAGCCGTCTTTTCCGACGACGGAGGCCTTCGCCGGAGAGTCGTGATTCGTCGATTTTCTGAATAACCACCGTCTTTTCTCTTTCTTCTGTAGAAAACAGAGCATTTGAATGAAACAAATAATCTTCTCCAAAAACAAGTAGATTTGAAGAGAGTGAAAGAAACAAGATTTAGAGATCTCTCGACAGAAACAAACGAACCTTGTCTTCTTCTTCCTCGGCTTCATTAACGTGAGCATTGTTGTTGTTTTGTTCTTTCTTGGTCGGAGATCGGAAAGCTCGTTTAACGGCGGTGAGCCAGGAAGAAGAAGAAGAACTGCTCTTCTTCCCCATGACGATTTGGTCAGATAAAGATTTCACAGTCGACAACACATTACAATCATCTTGCTGTTTCCGGACATTAGAGGATGAGATTTAGTTTAGATTCTTGCGCAGATGAGGAAGATGAAGAGAGAGAGAGGAGGAGTGGTGGGTGGATCTTGGGAAACAGAAAGTATCAATAAATTTGGAAGGTTGCTTAAGAGAGAGTTCTGCTGACTCTGACCGCCTCTTTAACTGCGACCATGACAGCGATGACTCTTCCTCTTCATTTACTTCTTTCCTCCCCACTTCATTTATTTTCTTTATTTTATCACACATTATCATGTTCCTAATGCTTGCATTTTTCATAAATTCAAGAACATTCAATTCTATAATAATTAGAGTTTTGCTGTATTCAGTTTTTTTTTTTTTTTTTTCATGTCATTACCAGTTCCATTCTGTTGTGCGGAATTCTGTTTTATTAAGAGATGATCCTACAAATTAAGAATTTCTACATTAAAAAAAGTCATAGGAGTACTTAACTAACTCTCATCATATGTACATATGGTTTATCAACATGATTGACATTTTCTATCATGCATCATGTCAATCGTAGTGGCCTTTTGAGATTTGAATACGGATATATGCTGATGTTTTGTACTCCCACATATGACAACCATTACTACCGGATTAAGTTTTTTGTTTAGTCTTACTAGTGTTCCAGTAAAGAAGATTTAAGAATCCATATTATTATAGGATAGCATACCAATAATTCCTTCCGAATGCAATTATTGATTGATTAATTTTCTCTTTTATAAAAATCTCTGTTTTATTTTCCTTTGTTGCTTCATCTTGTGACTAAACAAGCTAGGAAAAAAAAAAGACATGATGTTGTCAACAATCATTTGATTTTAGATAGACCTGGCAGGCTGGCACGACCCTATGGCTATATGCATGTTGTTTTTGTTTTTTGGGTTTGGCTATACGCATGGTTATTGAATACATACACAGCTAGAAGCCTACTTGTGAGTTGTGAGCGTACGGATAATAATTCAAAAAAGTAAAATTAAAAAAATTTCGACGATTGTGATTCATGTATTCAAGAATAAAGATAAAGATAAATAAATCATCGAATTAAGTAAATCGACATTTGTTAAGAAAACAAGTGGATAAACCCAACTAAAACCAACTATTTTAGTCGAAAATGACAGCTTTCAAGCTGTGCTTATTGGCCTAATCTTAATAACGACCTAAAAAATAGCTAATATCAACTGGTGAAGTCTCGTGCTATCACGTGCCAGGAACCAGATACAAGGACAGAGACATCATCAGGTGCGTGATGGACCACGAAGGTCGTTCCCTAGAACCATACACGTGGCCTCTTACATTTATATAGTCAAACACCTGGTCAACACTCTCTTCATCTGGGCTTCCTCTCTCATCAAACCTCGCTAAAGCAACAATATTTTAAAGAAAGCCCAATTTTTTGAAAGTCAATAAACGATTTTAAATGGGCCTTTGCCTTCCTAGAAACCCCTAGCCCAAAGTTTCTCGAAATTAGCTTTATTTATAACTCACGATTTCACCATTCGCTGCATTGCAAACCCTAATTTGTCTTTCTAGCGGCGCCACCAAAGAAATTTGCCGAGGCTTCCAATCGCAGTCTGAGGTACTTCTTCTTCCTCATCATTTCTGGTTTCATCACAGATTTCTCAACAATCATCGTGTTTAATCGTGCTCGCATAGTTTTTCTCGTTAGATACCTGTTGTTTTTCAGCTAATTTAGTGGCCGTTTAGGGAATTTTCTCGTTGGCTTTATAATCGTTCGATTTTTGCTGTTCTTGTTGAGATTTAACGCTTTAGTTTATCGTTTTTGTTGTAGAGACAATGTCGACAGTCGGAGAACTTGCTTGCAGCTACGCTGTTATGATCCTTGAGGACGAGGGCATTTCCATCACGGTACTGAGACCTTTCATGTAGTAGCTATTCGTTTTCATGTAGTCACATCATCGAGACTTCATTTAGTTGGAATGAATACTCATCTCGTGGTTTAGTATCCAATGAGGTCCGTTCAGCTGCTTAGGTTAGGTTATGAAGGTGTCGTTTATTCTCTTGTTGTTATCCTGAATCTATGAAAGTATGTTTGTTTTGGCTTACAGGTTTATTGCTGTGTCAATTGTCTCTGTAAGTTGTTGGTTTAGTGTTACGGTACTTGTGTGTCTGTGTCATGAATATAAGAAACGTGTGGGTTCTATTAGTTAACATGTTTTGCGAAATGTCAATCTTGTGGTTTAGGACATTATTTTGATAATCGTAGTGTCATTTTTTCTGAATTCAAGAATTTTGTTTTGCTTCCGCTTATACCCTTAACCCTTTTGTCAATAGTCTGAGAAGATTTCGACTTTGGTCAAAGCTGCTGGTGTCGAGATCGAGTCTTACTGGCCAATGCTATTCGCCAAGATGGCTGAGAAGCGTAACGTCACTGACCTTATCATGAATGTCGGTGCTGGTGGTGGTGGAGGCGGTGCACCAGTTGCCGCCGCTGCACCTGCTGCTGCTGGTGGAGGCGCAGCTGCTGCCCCTGCTAAGGAAGAGAAGAAGGTACAAAATTAAGAAAAAAGCTTATTTAAAATTTATTGAAAGTTTTATCTATCTAGTAATCAGTTTTGGTTATTGATTCCCATTATTCATTGTTTTGTAGGAGGAACCAGCAGAAGAGAGTGATGGAGATCTTGGTTTTGGATTGTTCGATTAGTTGCCTCCTTGTTTTACTCTTGCTGTGTTCTATTTCTTTCGCTAATTTGAGATTTTCAGTTTTTGCCATTTTCAACATTACAACAGTTTGGTCCATTTGTTATATCATGTACTCGAGTTGGCAATGGCTCACGACCTTCTTAGTGGTTTTGAGAGTTATCTTATGTATAATACGTGAGATTCTCTCATGCTTTTGTTGCTATGGAACTTTTTTTTTACCAACCATTTGCTTACCGAATTTGCAATCTATTGCTAATGTAATATAAAAATGTATGAAATTTAACAATATAAAGAACTTAAACTCGTATCTAGATAAATCCATAGTATGAACCAGAGTATAATATGAACCGGACGGGTAAAATCCAGTTTAATTTAAAAAGATTTGGTCTAAATTCTCTCACTTACCCACTGTTTCATCCAGAGGCTTTACTTTATTTTTTCTTATTGACTCTTTTGAGCAGAATTAGAACGTCGGCTAGTGCCGGCGGTGAATGTTCGTAGTCGAGGCCGTCGTCGGAGAGTTCGATGAACCAATTGGCTACTTGAAGTTAAAGGGACGACTCACAGAGAAGGACTAGAAAAAGTTCACCGATATGAAGAAGTCGCACATGGAACTCGATCTCGATTCGTTCCTAGTATCGGACTCGGATTCCGAATCCGATTTGGATTCTTCATCCGTTCCTCACCGTACAGTCGACGAAATTCTCAACGCTTCCAGTTCTTCATCTCCGTCGTCTTCTCCTCCTTCATCTCCGCCGTTGATTAGAGACCAAGTTAACCGGCGGAATCAAAACGATCCGACTCGCCGCTTATCAGAAGCTCTTTCAAACGTTTCCGTGAGACCTGAATCTGTTGATTCCGAAGTATATCGCGGATTCCCTCGCGTAAGCGATCCGACGCGGCGAAATTCGCCATCGACTTCTTCTCTAAGACAGTTGCCATTGCCGTCGCTATTCGCAGGAGTGCGGTCGAATGTGAAGCCCGGCGCGGCGCTTGCGGCGGCTGTGGCTGCTTCGAGATTGGTTCCTACACCACACGCTGCTATCATCAAGTCGAGGAGAGCTAGCAGTGCTAGTAGCGAGTTGATGCAGCAGGTTTTGGGAGCTGGAGAATCAGTTTCAAATCAAGACGCAGATGATCAGGAAGTATTTTCTACAAATGGCGTTTCTGTCGGAGTTGCTGTTGGATCCGTTTCTGTTGATGAATTTCGTTCTTCCGGTGGAGAATCTCGTCTGGAGGATGAGGATAACGGAGCTGAACTTGCAAGTCAAGAAAGCGAAGCTAATGTAATAGAAGTCCAACCTAGTGATAGTAATGTGACCGTTGCTGATGCCCGTGATTATGAGGAAAACTCAAAACCTGACTTAGTCACTGCCTCCTATGGTGTTGATGCTGAAGGAGACGTCCCTGCAGAACAAGAGACGATGACCACAATGGAAGCTGAAAATGCTGCTGTGGAAGGCGTCACAGATGACACAGTTGTCGTTTCTTTGCTGGAGTCTTCAGGGTCTCAACATTTGAATGATTCTGATGGGAATTCCTCTTCTTATTCTCAATCGGGTGATGCTAAGGCAAGCAACGATGAGGAATCAAGTGTTGGAGATGTTAAGAATGATGATTTAGATAGAATTACACCGGATTCTAAAGAAGAGGGAGTTGATGCTTTTATTCGTGATGATGGAAGCTCAATGTCTGGCATTTCAGAGCTTGTGGAAGAGAGGATTGAGGAGTTGGAAAAAGAAAGGATGAGTAAAAGAGAGAAACTAAAATCACGATCTTTTAGGAAACAGCTTGACTTGGCTGAAGAGTTTGAGAAGAAACAAGCATATACTGGTTTGCATTGGGAGGAAGGGGCTGCTGCTCAGCCAATGAGACTTGAGGGTGTTAAGATCGGTTCGACGAATTTAGGCTACTTTGATGTTGATGCTAACAATCTCATCAGCGGAACCATTTCGTCGCAGGCATTTAAGAGAGACCATGGTTCTCCTCAGGTTTTGGCTGTTCATTTGAATTTTATTGCAGTGGGTACGTCCAAGGGGGTCATCGTCGTTGTACCAAGTAAATATTCTTCTGATACTGCAGATCAGATGGAATCAAAGGTTGTCTTATACATCATTACTTATGTCCATTTATATGTTATTCGTAGGGACAAACGAATTTTATTATATAACCTGGGTACATATATGCTCAATTTTACTCACATGTATCTTTACAAAATTGTAGCTGATTTGGCTTGGTTTACAAGGAGACAGATCCCTGTCCCCGGTTACCTCGGTTTGCTTCAATCAGCAAGGGGGCCTCCTGCTAGCCGGTTATGGTGATGGACATGTTACAGTTTGGGACGTGCAGAGAGCGTCGGTAGCAAAAGTGATCACTGAACACACTGCACCAGTAGTTTATGCGTTTTTTATAGGTCGGGATTCTCAAGGTTCTCGCCAATTTAAAGTAATCACAAGTGATACCAAGGGTGTCGTTTTCAAGCATACTTTCTCTTGGACTCTGTTGTTGAACATGTACTCGGTAAAAACGCAGGTAAAAATTGGTATTTGTAAAGTCATGTTTGGTTGTGATTTTGCGTCTGCTTTCTACCTGTGTGTTCTTCCTTACTGACTTTGAGGAATGGGTTTGTACGCCTTGTTTTGATTGCATCAGTGTCTTCTCGATGGACAAAAAAATGGAATGGTCCTCTCAGCATCACCTCTGCCTGATGATATTTTTGGAAGCTCCTTGGCCTCTTCTAAGGTGGGTAACACTGCAGTTCCATCCAGCAGTATAAGTAGCATGATGGGAGGTGTTGTTGGGGTTGATTCAAGTTGGAAGCTCTTTAATGAGGATTCATCTGCGGTAGAAGAAGGGGTTGTCATATTTGTCACCTATCAAACTGGACTGGTGGTAAGAATTCCAGATACCCTTTTCTTATTGAGTTTAACGATTAGTCGATTAGGCTTCTGGAAATGACACTCTTCTTTTTTCTACAGGTAAAGCTCATTCCAAATTTGGAGGTGTATGCACAACTTCCTAGGCCAGAAGGGGTTCGGGAGGGTTCCATGCCATACACTGCCTGGAAATGCTCAATGGGTAATCACGTTCTTCTCTCAGTAAAATTGTGTACGTTGTTTCTATGGTTTTACTTAACCTTGTTTAAGTCAAATTTTGCAGAAAATTCTTCTAAGGAGGCAGAAGATAGGGTTTCTTTTCTTGCCATTGCCTGGGATCGTAGAGTTCAGGTTGCCAAGTTGGTAAAATCAGACCTAAAGGAATATGCCAAATGGTCACTTGACAGTGTAGCTATTGGTGTGGTTTGGCTGGATGACCAGGTGTGAATACGAATATAAATATATTTCCAAGCAAATGCATATTCTAATAGACTGACATTAGAACCTACTGGATATGAATTGATGTAGATACAATTATTAGACACATGAGTTTTTTGCTTTTCTCTGCATATTCAGTTGCTGGTGATCCCAACTGTGACGGGCCATTTGTATCTGTTCACAAGAGATGGTGTAGTAATTCACCAGACAAACTTTTCTGTGGATGGTTCTTCAGGGAATGACCTGATTTCCTATCATACATACTTTACGAATGTCTTTGGAAATCCTGAGAAAGCTTATCACAACTCTGTGGGTGTCAGAGGGGCTTCAGTATACATTCTCGGGACTGCTCATCTTGTTATCTCCAGACTTTTGCCATGGAAGGAGCGGGTTGATGTTTTAAGGAGAGGAGGTGATTGGATGGGTGCATTTAACATGGCAATGTCACTTTTTAATGGGCAGGCTCATGGGGTTGTTGACCTCCCCAAAACTGTGGACGCCATAAGGGAAGCCATAGCACCCAGTTTAGCAGAGTTGCTACTCTCCTATGTAGATGAAGTATTTTCTTATATCTCAATAGCATTTTCCAACCAGATTGAAAAAAATGGAGTAACTCATGAGCCAAGCAGTGGAACCAAGAATGCTAATTTAGAGATAGAAGAACAATACAATCGTGTTGGTGGTGTTGCCGTTGAATTTTGTGTTCATATTAACAGGATGGATTTGCTCTTCGATGAAATATTTTCCAGATTTGTGGCTGTACAACAAAGAGGTATAATTTTCAGATTTTATGTATATCCATCAACTTCCTTATTTGGTGCTACTTTTTATTAAGGAACAGGGTTGAATATCATTTCAACTTTTTAAATGTTTCAAAGTATGTTTACTACATTAGGATTGTGAGTAATTCCTTATAGGTTGTCTGGTTCTGTTTCTTTCTGTAATCTCTTTAGTTAGTCTAATCTCCTTTGAAAGACTCAGAAAGTTGCATTCCATTGTAAACATGCTTTTTTTTTTGGATTTAATTTTACATTCAGTTAAATATATATATATATATATATATATATATATGGGTGTTTTACTTACGCTTACCGTTCATAATACATACACATACATGTTGTATGTATGTTTTCCATTACTTTTAGTATAGGTCTTCTATTAACGCTCTACAGTAATTGTATAGTTTGCTAATGAAACAGCATGATACTTTTCAGATGGATAGAGTGCACTACCCATTATTGTGATGCTAATTGTTATATTTTGATATCTTATGGTAATCTAGTGATATCCTATTAGGGGGTGATAGTGCAGCATACACGTGCTTTGAAATCTGCTGTTCTTTTTGCGCACAGTTTGATCTTGGTTTAATCGGTTGATGTCTATTAATTTTCATATGTATGAAGAGACATTATGATTTCTCCTTATTAATTGCGGAAACTACCTTTGGTTTGTCTAGATACATTTTTGGAACTTTTGGAGCCTTATATTTTAAAGGATATGCTTGGATCGCTTCCTCCAGAGGTATCCTTTGTGCAATTATAAGATGTTTCCTCAAGATTTGTGGTATTCATTTGATGTTTTTGTTTCATCTCAGATTATGCAAGCACTGGTAGAACATTATAGTAGGAAAGGATGGCTACAAAGAATTGAGCAGTGTGTTCTGCACATGGATATTTCTTCCTTAGATTTCAATCAGGTCACGTTTGCCAGACAATTTCACGTGTCCAGTCTGGTCTTTTTCTTCAATAAGTTGATGTAGTATTATGGTTGAATATTGACATTTTTCTCCTTGGCACTTAGGTTGTCAGAATTTGCCGTGAGCATGGCCTTTATGGGGCCTTGCTATATCTTTTCAACAAAGGGTTGGATGATTTCAGGTCACCTCTGGAGGAACTCTTGATTGTCTTACGGAACAGTGAGAGACAAAGGGCTACAACAATTGGGTATGTTATGCACTTTGTTCTGGCTAATAAAACTTTACGTGCAACTGAACTTGAGAGACCCCGTCTCGCTTGTTTCAGTTATGGACTAGAGGACAACCTAGAATTCAAAAGCCTTATCCCTTTCCATAGAACATGACATTAGTCGAAGATCGCACCTACGCATATAGCTAATGACAATATTTGCTGTAGGACGCAGTATAATTTATTATCTAAACAAAGGTATAGTTTGCAAGCGCATCAGTGACGAGTTTTTCTTACATCTATTTCTTAATCAGGTACCGGATGCTTGTTTATCTAAAATACTGCTTTCTTGGTTTGGCTTTTCCACCAGGTAGGATTCTACTATGGTTTCACTGCATGTTATGATCTGCAATCGACCGAGTATGATATCTAGTGAAAACCTATAAACTTATATAGGCATTTTCCTCTCACGAGCTTAATCTTTCTTTTTTTACTTTTATCCGCAGGACATGGAACTCTGATTCCTACACGCTTGCCATCCCTTAGGACCGAGCTGATTCAGTTTCTACTGGAGAAATCAAACGTCCATGACTCTAGTACATGTGTAAAATCTCAACGGATTTACTTGAACCTCTACCACCTGCTAGAGATGGATACTGAAGCCACTTTAGATGTCCTAAGATATGCATTTGCAGAAAATGAAATGGTGAATCATGAGAATCATCTGCTGGAGTCCGGTGAAGTAAGTTTGGAGTCCAAGACTGATAGCAGTATGCCCGAAGATGGATGTAACGATATGTTGATCCAGAATCTGATAGATGCTCTAGTTCTTGTTCTTGATGCGGGGTTAAATCAACCTGATGAATCTGGCGATCCAGATGGTTCAAAATCAGATAAAAATTGGCCCTCCAAGGAGGATAGAAGTCATTTATTTGAGTTTGTTGCATATTATGCAGCACGTGGCAGAGTTAGTATTCCGAAGAGCATATTGGCACATATTTTAGAGTACTTAACATCAGATCACATTCTTCGGACATATAACATATCTCCTAAAATGAGAGAGAACCAATTACTAAACCTTTTGAAAGCTGTACCGGAGACTAATTGGGATGCAGCTTATGTGTCTCAGCTTTGTGAGACAGCACATTTTTATAAGGTATCCTCTTCGAAATCCTCCATATCGTGCTTGCAATGTTCACTTTGGGATATTCTCCTTGATCTCTGTTGTTTCCAACTTCTAGGTCTGTGGCTATATTCATACTATCGGTCGACGATACGTTGCTGCTTTAGAAAGCTACATGAAAGAGGCAGATGAACCCCTACATTCGTTTTGCTACGTGAACAAGATGCTCTCACAGTTGAGGGGAGATGAATTTACTGCTTTTCATTCTGCAATAATTTCTAGGATTCCACAGCTCCTAGAATTGAGCAGGTAACTATAGGTGGATTTTATACTGTCTCTATTGATTAGGTCTAGTGGACTCCAATAATATTGAATGTCTGGCATTTTGCAGAGAGGGAGCATTCTTTCTGATCATTGATAATCTGAAAGACAACATTACACGCATTCTAGAACAGCTCCATTCTCATCCAAGAAGCTTGTTCCTTTATCTCAAGACTGTCATTGAGGTTCACTTGTCTGGGAGTCTTGAATTTTCTCATCTAAGAAAACATGAGGCCGTAGATAGTTCGGGTGAAAACATTAGAAGGGATATGCCCAAAGAGGTTGAGATTTATTTGGAAGGACTTAATGGCTTTCCCAAATTCATCCAAGATAATCCAGTCAATGTGACTGATGATATGATTGAGCTTTACGTGGAGGTAAAGCACTTATGAAAACTTTTTCATTTGATTCTCCCTCTGCAGTCTCGATGTATTCTTATCTTTTTAGCAAAATCATTGCTTGGCTCTTCTATGTCAAATGGTAGCTGTCTAATAGATATAAATTCTCTTGGTTGTCTGCCTCTTTCATCGCCATCTTGCAAAAGTTCTAGCTCTTTCAAAGACTTATTAGAATTTGCAAGACTGAAACCTACAAGTTTACAACAGATATTTGTTTCGTTTATTTGCTGGAAATTGAAATGTTTGCTAGCTCAGCTTGTTCATAATTGGCTCTTTTTTATTTTATTATAGTGGGTCATTAAGATTATATGGCATTGTCGAATTGTTTGGATGCTGATAGATATGTTTGTATTTTTTATAGCTATTATGCAAGTACGAACCGAAGTCCGTCTTGAGATTCCTGGAAACCTTTGACAGCTACCGAGTGGAACACTGTCTACGTCTCTGCCAGGAATATGGTATTATAGATGCAGCGGCATTCCTCTTGGAAAGGGTAGGTGATGCAGCAAGCGCTTTGTCACTTACACTCTCTGGACTTAACGAAAAATTTGCCGAGCTTGAAAATGCGGTGGAATGCCTAGTGTCAGAATTGATGTTGGGTGCTAGCGAAGAAGCCAGCTTGGAACTGTTCAGTAGTGCTCTAGAGTTGAAGGAGGTTGGTACATTTCCTTACAATACGAATATGTTTTCTCAATGCCTCTCTCCCTCTCATGCTGCTTCATATCTTTCAGGTACATGACATACAAGGTGTTTTACAAGCCTGTATAGGATTGTGTCAACGCAACACTCCCCGTCTTAATCCAGAGGAGTCAGAGATTCTTTGGTTTCGCTTTCTTGATACGTAAGCATGGCCGTACATATGATCACTACTAATTAATTTCTCATCATGGCAATAATACTCACGTCACAGTTACTCTTAATATATGCAATCAAAATCATGTTGGATTTTACAAGCTTGAGCGAGCGCTCCTAGCTATTAATACAGGCATCTGATGATTGTTTTGTCCCTTCATGCTCCACGCAGTTTCTGTGAACCTTCGATGGATTCATATCAGGAACCGAGGAACGTCAATGAAATATACAAAGGCCTTGCGGATGTTAAATCGTTGGAACTGCCTGTAGATGAAGCAGCCGACACAGTCAAGTGGAGAATTCCAAGATCTGATGCAGCGGGTACACACATCCTGAGGAAACTCATATCTCAGTTTATCAAAGAGATTGTTGAAGGAATGATAGGATATGTTCGTCTTCCAACAATCATGTCAAAACTTCTTTCTGACAATGGTACTCAAGAATTTGGTGATTTTAAACTTACAATATTGGGAATGCTTGGAACATATGGCTTCGAGCGGAGAATACTGGTATGTATATAAAATTCCATGCATTTGGTTGTCTCCCTTGAGATGTTTCTTAAACTCTTTTCTTACTCGTAACAGGATACTGCGAAGTCCTTAATCGAAGAGGATACATTCTACACCATGAGCTTACTCAAGAAAGGTGCTTCTCATGGGTATGCACCCATAAGTTTGCTTTGTTGTATATGCAATTGTCCTCTCACCAAGACATTCTCTACTCTTCGTGTACGTGTTTTCAACTGCGGCCACGCAACACATATTCAGTGTGAACCGTCAGAGAATGAGATGTCATCATCATCATCATCATCATCATCATCATCAATTCACGTCGCGTCATCAGGTTGTCCTGTTTGTATGACCAAGAAGACCACGCAAAGATCATCTAAAGGTAAATCATTCTACCTAGATTATGGACTGATAAGCACAGTTTCTTCAAGCACCGGGACTTCACAACGCACGTCGCTTTACTCACATGAGAATGAAATGATCGATCATTCTCATAGCCAACAAATACCAAGGGTAATATGTCCATAGTAGATGATAATAATTCTTAAAGATAATAACAATCCATAACTCGATGTGATTAGCTAAAAGGTTTGCACTGTTTAACGCTGCAGTTTGAAATCCTAACCAATCTACAGAAAGATCAGAGATTGGTACAGATAGAGAGCTTGCCTCGATTAAGGCTTTCACCTCCAGCTGTGTACCACGAAAAAGTGAGCAGAGTCTCGGGTTTTACACCGGGTGAGAGTAGCGGCAAAGACACGAAACCTGTAAAACCATCCCAAAGTGGACTGAGTATGAAAATGAAAGCAAAAGGATCGATTTTTCGGCCAAGACTTGGTAAGTCCGTTTTTTCAAGGCCAAGAGTTGGTAATTAGGATTATGACTGGAACCCTTACAGATTGATGCTTAATTTATACTTGTTAAGCTTTTGGGAAGGAAAAGACGAGCAGAAGATAAGGAAGCTTCACAGTTTGACATCTGAAACCGGCTTAGTGACAACTAAATGGTATCAAAGAGTAGAGAGTTGTGTGATGGGGACCTTTTTGTTTTGTTTTGTGTAGTTAGGAAAATTAGTGGATGGCAACTTTTTTTTACTTGATGTATATAGTATAGTACCAAAAAGTAAGTAATAAAACCATCCTGGTGAGCCAAGAAATTTGATTGTAATCTTACGAGACATCGCAGTAGACACTGCGAATTGATTCTCTTAGAACAGCCTCAAAACGCATCACGAAGTTCAGTATGAACCAGAACTGAGATTGATTGAGAAGAAGATATAGAGAGGTTTTGAGGAAGCCAAAACATCAAGTTAAATAATTCACATAATCTATATACTTCAATTAAAAAGAATAATTCCCTTATTACAGACCCTTCAGTTTACGTAAGTGACAAGAAAAACAAAAGAAAAGAAACAAGAGGAAAGAAAAAGGTAAGAAAAGAGACTAATTCTGACGACTACGTATATAATTAGCAGACACGTAATTAGCTAATCCCAAAACCAAATCGAAAACGAAGGAAGCATGTGCTTGAGTAGTTGATCCGAATGCTGCGCCTAACCACCTTGTGAGACGGTCAGTAGATGACAACTTGGGAACATTAGGTGTTGGTGCAACCACAACTCGAAGCTTAAGCCCAGCCACACAATGACCGATCTTCGAGCTAATGAAGTAATGAACTCCTGGTTCGGTGAGAATGACCAGATCGTGTCCTGTCTTGTGCACGGCTACAGGACTTGTCGGGTCGCAGGATTTGAACTCAAGATGACCGTTGATTTCTAAGACGTCGTTGGCTTCGTTGCTGTATTCAAAAAGAAGTTTGTCTCCAACATGAAACTGTTTCTCCTCGCTCCACTTGTGATAGAAGTCACTGTCGTAAACCCTCCATCCTTTGGAGCCACCGACCTTGTAGGTCTTTGCAAAAGGAAAGATGTTGCTCGGTGTTGGTGGAGGAGGAATCGGACGTGATGGGTCATGGACGACAAGAACGTCGAGTCTCTGTCCCAATTCGCAATGAGCATGATTTGAGGTGATGAAGTAGTGAAACCCTGGTTCCGTGAAGGTTACGACATCATGCCCTGTGTTGTAGACGGCTTTAGGAGAAAAAGAGTCGCAGAATTGGTACTCCAAAGCGCCCGAGACTTGAGTGACGTCGTTGAAGTTGCGATCGTATTCGAAGACGAGTGAGTCGCCGACGTGAAACTCCTTACGCTCGGCCCAACTGTTGTAGACGTCGTCCTTGGCCGTCCATCCATCGGAGTCTCCGACTTTGTAGATCGTCGCCGAGCAGCTACCCAAGAGAAACGTGAAGGTTGTCATGAGGATCACAAAGCCAAAGATCATGGTGTTGATCTTCTTCGTTGTTGTTGTTGTCGCCATGATTCGAAGGTACACGAAGTAGAAGAAAGATGAAGCAATCTGAGAAGCGAACAAGCTGAAGAAAGATTAAACAATCTGAGAAGCGAACGAGAACGGTTTCGAGATAGAGAAAGAAAGAAGCTACCCTATCCCTCTATATATACTGCTCTATGTTTCCGATCCCTAATCCTTTGTTCTATCCTTTTTATCTACTTTCTTTCCTTTTTCCACATTTATTCCTTTTCAAATATATTTGTCTTTCCTCTTTCAATTTAGATTGTCATGAAAAAAATGCTTAACGATATCCTTAATCTTCTTTATCTAATTTTTATTTATTTATTATATTCTATTATCAATCTTTATTAGTACTTAACATCATTAAAATCTTTATCCCCTTTTAGTTTATTGATTCACTTGTGTGTTCTTATTTCTTTTCGTAAATCTCTTTTTTGATATATGGGTAATGTAGTCGGATTATCATCAGCAGACTTCTTAAGTTGCTTTTTAGAACTAGATTAGGAGTTATCTCTAATTATTTACACACATCCATATTCCATATAAACTTTAATCCTTATCCTAATATGATTCCCCTCATAGAGTCATAGATTACTACTAACTAGCTCGCGATTATAAGTAAAACCCATGCCCATGTCTCAATTCTGTCTAATTGTTGGAAACCTATATATAGCTCTTGTTACATTAGTAAATAGAGTTTTTATTTATTTTTTTCTTCGAGTTTCCTTATTTCTTTTGAATAAGGATTTTGAAAAAGTTTAGATATATATCCGGGTTTCTAGGGGAAGTATCAAAAACAAGTTTGTGAGAGAAATTAAAGTCAGTTTTGGAGAGTAACAAAGCCTAAGAAAAGAAAAGTTTTGGAGAGAGATATGGAGGATCAAAAGCATACAACAGATTTTACGATTGAGATAGATAACTTCTCCCAGAGGAAAACTATGATATCATCACCAAACTTCTTAAGCGGCGGCTGCGAATGGTACGTAATTATTTATTGTATATATATATATATATATGTGGGTATGTTTTGATTCTTGACTCATCCGGTAGATTCAATAAACAACTTCTTTTTAGATAGATATTATTAGATCAACAGCTAAATTAGGGTTTTTATTATTCTTTTCAGGTACGTTAAGGTTTTGCCCAAAGGAGATTGTATTAATGATCGGCACGTGCATATATACCTCTGCGTTGGAAATCCTGAATCATTACGACCTGGATGGAAAATACGAACTAGAAATTCATTCGTTGTGTTGAATCAATCAGGCAAAGAGCTCTACAGATTAGAAGGTAATTAATGAACTTATCTTATCCATATCGTAGAAGAAAATTGAACTAATATTTTTTTAAAAAAATAAATAAATAAATAATTTTCTGTTTTTTTTTTTTTGTCTCACAGACAACTGCTGCCGACTGTACTGCGATCAGATAAAACAATGGGGTTGGTTTTTGCATTGGTGGATGTTTTTTTATCAAGGGTTTTTATTGGACAAGAATAAACTGACTTTGAAAGTCCAAGTAAAAGTAGTTGAAGTTGTTGATGAAGGAGAGGTAACTGGGAATGAGATGTTGGAGTTCAAGGGTTTCCAAGTTCCTTATTCCAAGGTATGATTGTAGAGATGCTTCTTCTTGTTTTTCTTTCTTCTAGCTGTTTTTGATTTACATTTTTGTAGGATTTGATCTCTAGCTATAACATAATTACATCTTTCTCTTGTTAACAGGTGTCCTCGTTGACTAGGCTTTTCAAGGATCACCGGAACATTGCCAAGAATTTCAGAGAAAAGGACCAGTTGGTGAAGACATCATATATGATCGACCTCCTGGATCTCATCGAGACACTGAACAAGCCTCCATATAGCTTATCTGAGACTGAGCTAAGAAACGCTCTAAGGAAGTTGATGGAGCTAAAAGAAGTGGGCTTCAAAGTAAACTGGTTGAAGAAAAAACATGATGAGATCCAAAAACGTGAGTCCAACAAGACTATGATATCTGACCTGAATAAGGGGACCAAGGCTATTTGGCTTGATGGTGTTGTTCACTCTTGGAAAGTAAGAGTGAGGGGTTTGGTGATGTTGGTAAAGAAAAACAAAACTAAACCCAGTTTCCCTTGTCCAGAGTTTGATGAATTATCGAAGCCATTATTATAAAGAATGATTTCGGCAGATGCTGCTTTTCTAATTTAAATTTTTTTTTTTTACCATTTTTTATAAGGAAATCACTGCCACATAATGGGATTTTAAATATCCAAAGAGTTTTTGTTTTTTTGTTAGTAAAGTCAGATTGAGTATATGCACGACGACGAGTGCAGAATTTATGTGTAACAAGCGGTTTCTGATTGTGGAGTATGTAGCCAATGGAAATCTCAGAGATCACTTGGCTTGTGACTAGACTCTACTCTCTTAACACTGTGTTTGCTAAATCTAATAGACTCCCTCTCATAGGCTTATTGACTAGATTTGACTTTTCACTGATGAGCTACCATTTAGGCATTATTGCACATCAAAAAGGACAACGAACATAGCAAAGAGCAAGGGGTCACAAATAAAACTATATATGCAACTTTTTTCAGTTAGTATGAGAATCTACACAGAAAATCCAAATCCAAATATATATGAAGGCGTAGCCGCATAGGTATGCATATATGCATGCATGCATGCATATGCCTTCATGAAGATTTCAAAGAACATTTATAGATTTTATTTCCCAAAGAAAACAAGAATAGTTTCAAATTAAAGAAAAATGAATCAGGAAATTAAATCTTCGATCTCTGCTTCAATTCTAAATATCAAGTAACCGTTTGGAGCCATTTTAAAAAAAAATATAATCTGGAAAGGACTCATTCCGGAGCATCATTTGATTTTGCACATAGGTCCCAGAAAACAGATCAATAGAGATAGAAGAGATAACGTATTCCCTTCAACATTGTTTTGGTATGGGAATTAGCAAGTGATCAAAACACCAGGGAAGCAAATGTTTCTGCAAATTGAGCTTACAGTAAGAGAAGTAGAACTCATGGAGTACGGTTTACGGACATGACATTACTATGCTATGCTATGCTGCTTAATTGTCACGTTCGATTATTAGCTTACGAATACTTTTGAATGACTAAATATTATACTCAGAAAGATGTAAGAATGTGGAGAACAAGAAAAAGCAATTTAATACAAATAGAAAAGATTCATTCATCGATAACCTTGTTTTGTGAATGGCAGTCCCTAACATTTACTCCAATGGCAGCAAAGCAAACTCAACGGCAACAACTCCTCTATATTACGCGAAATGGAAATAGAATTATAAACCGGTGATTACATCATATGGTTTCAAGTACATGAAAGAAGATTTATTAGATTTATCATATGGTTTCAAGTACATGTTGTGTAATTAGGAAAATTATAGTGGATGGTAACTTTTTTGACTTGATGTATAGTATTGTAGCAAAATGTAACTAACAAAACCATCCTTGTGGCCAATACATTTGATGGTAATTTTACGAGACATGGCAGAAGAGACTCTGCCAATTATTCTTTGGATGTTGTTCGAACCGCATTCTCCACAAAACATAAGATTCAAATATTGTGAACCATACCATGTTGGCTTCGGTTTTGGTCACAGGAATGGCTTCATACTGAACAAAACAAATGAATATTGTGAAATTTGCAAAATCGAATTTGCAAAGCGGCTTCAAAATTCTAGTCGTCAATCGTTGAAATTTATGAAATTATAGCTATAGGTTCTTTTTTAATTGAGTAGTTGATGAAGACGTGTGTTGTCAACTGTATTACAAAGGAAATATGTTCAGTTTTTGTTCATTTATACAACAACAAGAAGCAATATTGGTTTCTTTTTGTGATCTAACATTAGGCTTGAAGAGATGTTACCTTATCTGAAATATTGACTAGGGATCCAATCACTGCACTGAAGCAGAACTGAGATCGATTGAGAAGAAGAAATAGAGAGGTTTTGAGGAAGCCAAACATCAAGTAGAATAAAAAAATTCACATAATCTACATACTTCAAATAAAAAGAATAATTCTTTATTACATTAAAAAGGACCCTTCAGTTTACGTAAGTGACAAGAAAAACAAAGAAACGAAACAAGGGGAAAGAAAAAGGTAAGAAAAGAGACTAATTCTGACGACTACGTACATAATTAGCAGACACGTAATTAGCTAATCTCAAAACCAAATCGAAAACGAAGGTAGCATGTGCTTGAGTTGATCCGAATGCTGCGCCTAACCACCTTGTGAGAAGGTCAGTAGATGGCAACTTGGGAACGTTAGGTGTTGGTGCAACCACGACTCGAAGCTTAAGCCCAGCCGCACAATGTCCGATCTTCGAGCTAATGAAGTAATGAACTCCTGGTTCGGTGAGCATCACTAGATCATGTCCTGTCTTGTGCACGGCTACTGGACTTGTCGGGTCGCAGGATTTGAATTCAAGATGACCGTTGATTTCTAAGACGTCGTTGGCTTCGTTGCTGTATTCGAAAAGAAGTTTGTCTCCAACATGAAACTGTTTCTCCTCGCTCCACTTGTGATAGAAGTCACTGTCGTAAACCCTCCATCCTTTGGAGCCACCGACCTTGTAGGTCTTTGCAAAAGGAAAGATGTTGCTCGGTGTTGGTGGAGGAGGAATCGGACGTGATGGGTCTTGGACGACAAGAACGTCGAGTCTCTGTCCCAATTCGCATTGAGCATGATTTGAGCTGATGAAGTAGTGAAACCCTGGTTCCGTGAAGGTTACGACATCATGCCCTGTGTTGTAGACGGCTTTAGGAGAAAAAGAGTCGCAGAATTGGTACTCCAAAGCGCCCGAGACTTGAGTGACGTCGTTGAGGTTGCGATCGTATTCAAAGACGAGTGAGTCACCGACGTGAAACTCCTTACGCTCGGCCCAACTGTTGTAGACGTCGTCTTTGGCCGTCCATCCATCGGAATCTCCCACTTTGTAGATCGTCGCCGAGCAGCTACCCAAGAAAAGCGTGAAGGTTGTCATGAGGATCACAAAGCCAAAGATCATGGTGTTGATCTTCTTCGATGTTGTTGTTGTCGCCGCCATGATTCGAAGGTATACACGAAGTAGATCTAACAAGAAGAAAGATGAAGCAATCTGAGAAAAGCGAACGAGAGCGGTTTCGAGATAGAGAAACAAAGAAGCTACCCTATCCTTCTATATATATATATATATATATATAGTATACTGCTCTACGTTTCCGACCCCTAATCCGTTGTTCTATATATAAGGATTTTATCTACTTTCTTTCCTTTTTCTAAATTTATTCCTTTTCAAATATATTTATCTTTCCTATTTGAATTTAGATTAATGTTTAACGATCTCCTCGTGGAGTATTTATTTTGTTGTATTATATTTTTTATCCATCTTTGTTATTACTTATCATTAACATTTTCTCGTTGTTAGTTATTTGTCTGGCTGTTGGTATTTCTTTTGGTAACTCTTTCTGTTCAGACTTTGTATTATGGGTTATATCAATTATATATAAAAAATGATTCAAAATTGTTAATTACACGTGTTAAGTTAATTGATGTAGTTTTTATAAAATATTCATATTGTGAAACAAAATATTTAGTTTGGAGTAAATTTTGTTTAAAAATATGACAAAAACTACCAAAAAAAAAATTGGTTCATAAAATACATTTGTGAAACTTTGAAAGAGTTATTGAATTTTTCATCTAGAAACATCGAAAACTGATTTATTACAAAAAAATTATTAAGAGCATAATTAACGTTGCAAACTCATATGGATTATTTAACCGTTTTTTAGTATTAAACAGCTAAGTGCAGCCACGTGCCATCTAAGAACTGTCGCTTACGATTTAAAATAAAGACGTCTTTGATTAAATATATCAGTAAATAATCATAAGAAACTAATCTAAGAGACCACGATAATCATGGTCTAAAGTTCATTTATAATAGATGAATTTACTTACATACACATAAACTAAAACCTGGATAAACCAAACTAATATTCACACATTAGACTATTTTGCATGTTGATTTGGATACAAATCCATTTAACATATATTTGAGTAATTAAGTTCATAATATTTTGGAATGCTAATATTTTCACATATTTATTGTTTTATATAATTTAGTAAAATTAGACAAATGATGAAATTTATGACCAAGTTTTGTATGATTATTTTGTTTTGTTTCTAATCTTTTAAAACTTACAACTGCTTTTACTTAAGGTCATTATTAGTCTATGCATGGTTCTGCTTGGATCGTGTAGAACACAACAAAGATGCTGATAAGAGGATTCTAGTTAGATCACTTCATCAGCGGCGTGATCATCTGTTCATTGTGCTGATGTTCGATGTGTTCCTGGAAAACTGGTCTATATGGTGAATTGTATTTGATCAGTGTTCTGTGTAGGTGGGAAGCTTGTCGTAAACTTCTCCTCATGGAAAGTAGATCGGCTCAATGGTCCCAAGTTGGCGACGTGATAGTCTTAAGAAAGAAGAAGATGGTGGAATGATTGTGGAATGATTGGTTAACTTACTTATTTTTTATTTTTGTGACGCTGAATGTAATGGTGTTCTTGCTACGTGATATAAAACTGAACATTTAAGCAGGAAAAGAAAAAAAGAAAATTAGTGAACTAATCAATCTTTTCTTATGGTAATGATTTGTGATTGAACTGAAATTAAACTTATGATACTCGCTAGTGCGTTCTACTATTTCGTGCTGATTAATATTCGTTTGACAGGCTAAATAACAAAAAAATAACTACAGCTGTTTCAAGGAATCAAATGCTGCAATGCCATAAAACGCTAAAGAATGTGCCCATTTGTCACCACCACATTATTTAATTTAATTTTTTTTTATTTTGTTTTAATACAGAAAATCATAGAAATTCCTTCATTCTCCTTGTAAGTCTCTAAAATTACAACTTAACCACAATTCTACCCACCCAAACCCAATAACCCATGAATATCCACCCACCCAACTCACTTAAATATTTTTATTTATCTCAAATAATTAAATATTACACCTTAATTTCTTCATCTTCATCAACTAAATCGTGTTCTTATTCTCTTTCGTTCGTTGTAGATAGCTCTCTCCAAAATCTGGTTGAATCTTCTCTCTTCGAATTAGGGAGATCAATCACTCCATATCAACTTCCTTAAACTTTCTTCCTCTCTCAAAACTTTCGTTTTCATCACGATGAGCTTTTTCATGTCCTGAATCCTCTTTTTTTTTCTTTCCTGGAAATATTTAAGTTTGTATAGCTTCGGTTGATGAATCATCTACCTGTTATGAGCTCTTCAGTTTTTTTTTGTTGGTGTTGGGTTTTTATTAAAGTCGAATTCTGACGGAATCTTTTTTTTTTCTGACATTAAAAATCACATTTCATGGTTTGTGGCGGCTCTTAGAAATTATACGACCCATGATTATGTGATTTATGACTGCTCTTACTTCAATTCAGCAATTGTGAAATTGGTTTTGTTTGCTTCACTTAATTTGCTTTGATTTTGTGTCGCATGACAACGATAATGGCAAATGATTCGTTTACTTTTTTGGATCATTTGGGATGCGAGAGAGCTCAGTAATTGGACTCTATGGTTAACTTTGTTTGGCCAAATTGTTCTAGCGCAATGGTTTTGTTATAAAGATACTTTATTTCTTCCAACCGTCGGCAATGGAGGGAGCACTCGCAGGAACGAAGATGGCTCTTGCAGCTTTCGAGTAGCTAAACTTTGAGGAACCTCCTCCGGTCTGGGGATCTCGCAGCGTTGATTCTTTGAGAAGCTCAACCAAATCGGCGAGAAACTAACGGGACTACTTCTCACATTCTTCCTTTTTTACTTGAATCCAATTTAGTTTTATTGGATGGTACTCGGGATACTTGCGTTTCACGGGGTTTCATAAATTGGAATCATAAGCGATTTTTGAATGTAGGATTCAGCTTTTACAATGTATAGTTGTGCTTTAGGATGTTTATTGTTGTCGTTTTGCTCTTGCAGTCAAGTTTACATGGCTAAAAGATCAAAACTGGTGAAAATGGTGGCTCTGAAGAAGATCCGCATGGACAATAAAAGAGAAGTGGTATTTGTTTCTTTATCGTTATACCCATCGTGAGTTTTGTCATGCTTATTATGTTACAGCAAGCTTAGAACAGATGAGAGTTTTTGTTTCCAATAGGAATTGACAAATTGTAAGTTATGTCTCTTAAAAGGTTGAGATATGGATGACTGAGGAAAGCCATGTTGGTGAAGAAGAAAATATTTTATATTCTGTATCTTATCATTGCTGGTTCAGAAGAAGAAGATTTGGGAATCAGCATTTCGGAAAGAGCATTTGATGTGGATAACTTATGGTCTTGTCACTTTGTAAAGTTTAGGAAATGCTAACATTTCTTGATTTATTTGTTTTGACATTGCAATGTAACAAAAATTTTTTATTGAAGATTAATAAGGTTTTTACGAAATTTATCTTTATTCATCAATTTTGTTCATATCTTATTTATTTAAATACAAGATTACTAAAACGAAAGAAAAAACTATAATGATATGGTGTAATTATCTCGGTTAGCTTAATGTACAACTAAGCAGTTAATTATAACAAAATAGAACATGTACTTTAAGTACAACTCAGTACAACTGACAAAATGAAACATGTGCATCGTCCATTTTGTACATAGTTGTACTCTAAGAGTCCGGTTGTACACATTTTGTACATAGTTGTACTCTAAGAGTCCGATTGTACAAAATTCTTAATAGTTGTACTTTTGTGAATTTATCATTTTTGCAGTTTTCCATTGATATAGATTATTACTTTGTAGTTGTCCATATAATTTTTGAATATTAAGTAGCATTTATGATGTTTTTATATTACAAATTGTGCAAAATCATATATTTTGCCTCTTTTGCATCATAAAGTGGTTAATATTAACAAAGTCTTCCTTATACTATAAGATATGTTTGATGGAAAAACAAGAATATGTATTAAAAAATTATAAATATCTGATTTTTCATAACTTGTAATATGAAAACCTCGTAAATGCTATTTAATGGTCAAAAATTATGTGGACAATTACGATATAATAATCTATATTAAGGTACAATTGCAAAAACGTTAAAATCGCTAAAGTACAACTATTAAGAATTTAGTACAATTGGACTATTAGGGTACAAATATATGCAAAACGGCGCACATGTTCCATTTTGTCGGTGCACATTTTGACATGTGCGCCGTCAATTTTGTACATATTTGTATCCTAAGGGTCCAGTTGTACAAAATTCTTAATAGTTGTACTTTTGCAATTTTAGCATTTTTGCAGTTATCCCTTGATATAGATTATTATTTTGTAGTTATCCATATGATTTTTGAATATTAAGTAGCATTTACAATGTTTTCATATTACAAATTGTGCAAAATCATATATTTTGCCTTTTTTGCATCATAAAGTGGTTAATATTAACAAAGTCTTCCTTATGCTATAAGGTATGTTTGATGGAAAAACAAGAATATGTATTAAGAAAATTATAAATATCTGATTTTTCATAACTTGTAATATGAGAACTTCGTAAATGCTATTTAATGGTCAATAATTATGTGGACAATTACAATATAGTAATCTATATCAAAGTACAACTGCAAAAACGTTAAAAATCGCTAAAGTACAACTATTAAGAATTTAGTACAACTGGACTCTTAGGGTACAACTATATACAAAATTGACGGCGCATATCTTCCATTTTGTCGGCGCACATGTCAAAATGTGCATAGTTGTACCTTACGAGTCCAGTTGTACGAAATTTTTAATAATTGTACTTTTGCGATTTTAGCATTTTTGAAGTTATCTTTTAGTATTGATTATTATTTTGTAGTTGTTCATATGATTTTTGAATATTAAGTAGCATTTTCGATGTTTTCATATTACAAGTTGTGCAAAATCATATATTTTGCCTCTTTTGCATCATAAAATGATTAACATTAAAAAAATCTTTCTTGCACTATCAGGTAGGTTTGATAAGAAACTAGAATATGTATTAAGAAAATTATAAATATCTGATTTATCATAATTTGTAATATGAGAACCTCGTAAATGTTATTTAATGGTCAAAAATTATGTGGACAATTACAATATAATAATTTAAATTAAGGTACAACTGCAAAAACGCCATTTGTATCAATTGTACTATATCACTTAGTTGTATCATTTGTATCAATTGTCCTATATCATTTAATTGTACCATTTATACCAGTTGTCTTATCATCCCAGATTTGATGGACTCGGATTTTAATTCTAATTTATCTAAGATTCATTACGATTCAAGAACTACACCGACAAATTACCAATACAACAACCTAATTGTCCATTAAACTTGGTTATCAATCCAATTTGCATATCAAAATAAGTAATTTTTGCAAATTAAATTTCTAAATTGTGAAAACCATAAATCTCCAAATAAGAATAATTTACTCAGTTTTGAAGCTTCAATAATGGCAGATGATAGAGGAGTTAAGAATAAAAAATCGATTGCAGAAGAGGAGGAAGAGACAAAGGTGCAGATCCATCATATTGAATTTCGTTTTCAACATTGACCAAACCAAATGATAGGGAAGAGAAAAAGATGAGAGTGAGACATTTAATAAAATAAATAAAAATTAGAAAATTAGAAAATAATAAATAATTCAGTTCAATTTTATTAAGATTAAAATCGACATTACATAATTATTTATGGCACTAGATTCATAGATTATTTTTAGTTTATGGCATTTTAGCAGCCTTGCGCTCCCAGCATGATGACTGATGGGCTGTTATGTTTATATATCCGCCATATGTCATGGGAGATACGTTCTTATTGCCGACAGTATTTTCTGTAGGTAATTAATTACTATCCACAGATCCAACGACTAAAAAAGAACAAATATCGTAATTAGAAATGTAAAAAATTAGAGCTGTAACTATAATTTCTGGCTTATGCCTCTTGATTTATTCTGAGACAGAAAAGCTAACACAATTACACTAGCTAGACTCGAGTGTCACTAACAAGGTAAAAAGACCATATTAAAAAGAAAAGAAAAAAACATTACAAATTCTATTTCTCTTACCTTTTAAACTTTTTTTTGGCATTTAACTTTTTCTTTAACGCAAAGATAAAAAAGAAAGCAATTACGAAAATAAAATAAAACTAGACGTCAACTTTACAAGTTGAAGGAGCGAGAAGTGGAACTTGTCCATTAGAAGATCGATTAAATCTCAACCACACATCACACGTGGCATAAAATCCATACCGTCCAGTCTTAATCGCACCGGCTTTCCAACGTAGCCTCCCTAAAACCACCACTCTCATCAAAACGACGCCGTAAGCTTCATCGTTCTTCAAACCGTTCGCCACTTCCGGCGAAACCGGTATCCCGGCTCCGCCAAGAACCGGAGCTATCACCACCGTAGATTTATGTCCCAGACGAAGCGGCGGGAGCGGAAGCGGCGGCGTTATGATCTGATCTCTGTAGGTAACGTACATCGAGAGCTTGTCGTAGTAAATTGCGACTCTCCGGTTCGGGTTTCGCGCCAAAACGGAGAACTGAACGGAGGTTGAGATTAACGGCGGCGCCGTGAAGTTGAGATCGTAGATCGCGGCTCCGACGACGGTGAGACGTGGTTTGTGTGGACGGTAGACGAGCCAGAGGATTAAAGCGATGATTCCTAGTAAAACGAGGATAGTGAAGATCGCGCCGCAGATTGCGCGGCGGGCGTTTCCACCGCCTCTGCCGCCTTCTTTGGAGTAAGATTCCGGCGTTGAAGAAGCGGAGTGAGCATTCTTGTGCTCTGCTTTGGCTGCTTGCTCTGCTTTTGCTTCTCCTTCTCCCATGGCTATATTATCTATATATATATATATATATATATATTTGTATATGTTATGTTCGCGTATGTATGTAAAGGTGTGTGTGTATATATGATATCCAGAGGATTTATGGTTTGGTGAAGAGTGAAGGAGGATATAAAGGAGGAGAAGAAGTTTTTAAGTAGATGCAAGCTTTTGTCTTGTTTTGTAGTTAGTGACAGTAAAGCACTCTTATTATAGGTTTATATGGTACATTTTATTGATTATTTATTAACTTAGAAAGCTTGGAATTGTAATTATCTGTTCCTACTACTATTTCAGAGGCTACTCTTTTTGTAAAGCAGCCGTAAAAATTGTAATAGGTTAGGTTTAGCCGTTTACTTTAGGTATGACACTCGGGTTTTGTGTTTACATTGTAGGTTTTTTTTTTTAATTTATATATAGTAAAATAGATACAGAAGTCAAGTACTTTCGAAAGAATCCAAATCTCGGTGCAACCGTTCACGTGACGGATCTGATGGCTATAATTTGTAAATGAATAATTGATTTCCAATTTGAAAATAAATGTACTTGTAGAAGGATATATCATGTATATGACTATACACTATTAAAGTTGTTTATGGTCTATGATTGACTTGTTTGATGACTGCTTAGAGTGTTCCATGTTAAAGACTATTTCTAAATAAGCACCGAAGCTCATATTAAGTAGGCCTCGGCACGGGACGAGTACTTGCCATTTTTGGTATACTTGATACTTGATTTGCTTCGTTCAAGTATCAAGATATTTGTACTTGTACTTGACTTGTTAATATAAAGTACTTGCAATTTCAAGTACTTGCCAAATTTTTCATTACTTGCAAGTTACTTGGTTTGTCCCATTACTTGTAAAAGTACAAATAGAATACTAAAAAACTAAAATTTTGGGCCATATTTAATTAAAACCTATAATAATATTTAATATTTTGACCTTTAGGTTTTTGGAAAGCTTTAGATATTGAAGTCTGGCAACTTATTTATCTTTTGATAAGCAGACTTTTCTTTCCTTTTTTATGTTGTAATCGATGTGGAATAAAATAAAAAAAAAATCAGAGATTTGAAACGAGTAACGGATCAATAAGATCAAGTAGTAATTTTTTTTTTAATACTTGATACTTGCCTTATACTTGCAAGTAATCTTCTTAAGATACTTGATACTCGACTTGATCAAAACAAGTACTTAGTTTTACGGAACAAGTACGGATTAAGTAATGAATACGAGACGAATACCAAGTAATTGTGTCCAGCCCTAATATTAAGGACGCGACTGAAAGCGAGCATTATAGAATTTACGGTATGGCTTCAACAAAATTAGCAATACACAGACTTGTTTGCATGCATGCATCAAGAAAATTATCCGCATGTCAAAGCTAAACATTTTATAGATATGTCTTTCATTTCGGTTTTGTTGCTAGAGTTTAAGGTTTGTATATCTATCATAATCATATCCCCCAAATTAGTAAAGCAACTAACGATACATCCATCGAAGTCACACTAATTGAATTGGGTTCCACAAGACCACACCACCATGTGTTAATTACTTAATTTTGTTCACAGATTTAGAAAATTTCTAAACAATTCTGTAATAGTTAAAATTATAGTATTTTTTTTTGTTAGTAAGCTTCCAAAAGCAATTAATAATCCACATAGAAGAATCTGCTAATTTAACACACCATCCGAGATACCGCACCGACACTGAGTCACCGACGATGACAAGTCATAGAGTGGATGGGACCTTCTGTTTCCTTAGTAGGCCTCAGTTCGAAAGCCCATAACAAATTGGGCCTACATAGTTTTTAACTGTTGTGTAAGAAGACATTCGATTTCTGCCTGAATCATCCATTTCCAACGGCCGATTATTAAAAACTCCGACTAATGATTCGCCGGCCGATCTACGACTCATCCGCCGTTTCTCGTCACTTGAATCTGCCATTATCGTCATTCTCGAATTTTCTGTTCTCTACTTCATCACGTTCATATGAAGACGAAACCCAAGAACCGGTGGTATCGAATCGGAATCCTAAATCCTCAATTGGGTCTCCGACTCGGGTTCAAAAGCTTATAGCTTCGCAATCGGATCCTCTCCTCGCCAAAGAGATATTCGATTACGCCTCTCAGCAACCCAATTTCCGCCATTCTCAATCTTCTCATTTCGTCCTCATTCTCAAACTCGGCCGTTCAAGATACTTCAATCTCATCGACGACGTTCTCGCCAAGCATAGAGCTAGTGGATATCTGGTAACCGGAGAGCTTTTCACATATCTGATTAAAATCTACGCAGAAGCAAAGTTACCGGATAAAGCGTTTACGACGTTTTATAAAATGCTGGAGTTCAATTTCACGCCACAGCCAAAACATCTGAATCGAATCCTAGAGGTTCTCGTCAGCCATAGAGGTTACCTTCAGAGAGCTTTCGAGCTTTTTAAGAGCGCACGGCTTCACGGAGTGATGGCTAACACGAGAACCTACAACATATTGATGCAAGCCTTTTGTCTGAATGATGACTTGAGTATTGCATACCAACTATTTGGTAAAATGCTTGAGAGAGATGTTGTTCCGGATGTTGAGTCTTATAGGATTCTGATTCAAGGGTTTTGCAGGAAAGGACAAGCGAATGGTGCTATGGAATTACTTGAAGATATGCTGAATAAAGGGTTCGTGCCCGATAGGTTGAGTTACACTACGTTGTTGAACAGTTTGTGTAGGAAGACACAGCTTAGAGAGGCTTACAAGCTTCTATGTAGGATGAAGTTAAAAGGTTGTAATCCTGATATTGTTCATTACAACACGATAATTCTCGGGTTTTGTAGAGAAGGTCGTGCCATGGATGCCAGGAAGGTTCTTGATGATATGGTAGTTAATGGTTGCTCACCCGATTTGGTCTCGTATAGGACACTGATCGGAGGATTGTGTGACCAAGGGATGTTTGATGAAGGGAAAAAGTATCTACAAGAGATGATATCGAAAGGGTTTTCTCCTCATTTTTCAGTCTCTAATTGTTTGGTGAAAGGGTTTTGCAGCTTCGGCAAAGTCAAAGATGCATGTGATGTAATTGAACTTGTGATGAAGAATAAGGAAGCATTGCATTTAGACACTTGGGAGATGATAATTCCTATAATCTGTAAAGAAGACGAGTCGGAGAAGATCAGAATGTTTCTTGAAGATGCTATGAAGGTAGAGATAAGCGGTGATACTAGACTCGTTGATGCGGGTTTCGGCTTAGGATCTTATCTTTCTAGTAAGCTACAGATGAAACGTAAAAATGCTAGAGAAAGGAGGCGTTTATAGGTTGCTGTTCCTGAGGAACTGTAGAGAAAGCTCGATCAATCTGTTATATATAACTCAAGAATCAATACAAACCAATGCCTTGAAGGGTATATATATATATATATATATATATATATACTTGTTCCTCAAACTCTTTAGACACTCGAAGCTTTATTCAGTTTTTTGGATCGAATAATGTCGATGATATTGTGGGAAGACGCTTACTTGGGGAAACTGATATGAGCCCAATTTTGGTGATTGGACCTGATTTGGGCTTTTTTGTATAAGCTGAAGCCCATTTAGCTCCATTCAATAGTTTGCTTTGGAAATGAAGGTATCAGCTTCTGAACAATAGTGAAGGAGAGTGGCTTCTTCATCTTCTCCCTGTGATTGTCCTGTGTTCTTGCAATACGTTATTCAGAAGCATTTGAAATTGTGAAAAATCTTTGATCAGATCTGAGTTTTGCCGATTACTCAGAAATATCATCGAAAATAAGTTACGGGAATGCCATCGACTCCGATTAGATCGATGGCGGTTACGAGGCAGCCGGAGCTCGATCAAGACGATACGGCGGTGGAGTCGGTAGATTTCTCCACCGTGAAATTCGGTACACCGGAAGCGTTGGAGTATGTACGCTCGCTCACGGACGTTGGCGCGATGACGCGACTTCTTCACGAATGTATCGCTTACCAACGCAGCTTAGATTCAGATCTCGACACGCTTCTATCTCAGCGGACGGAGCTGGATCGGAATCTCGCTCAGCTTCAGGGATCCGCGGACATTCTCGATATCGTGAAGGCTGATGCAGATCACATGTTCGGGAATGTTCGATCGACCTGTGATCTCGCGGATCAGGTCAGTGGCAAAGTACGAGAGCTTGATCTCGCACAGTCTCGTGTGAATGTGACTCTCTCCCGTATAGACGCGATTGTCGAGCGAGGGAATTGCATCGAAGGCGTGAAGACTGCGTTAGATTCGGAGGATTACGAATCCGCCGCGACATTCGTACAGAGGTTTCTCCAGATTGATTCGCAGTACAAGGATTCTGGTTCCGACCAGAGGGAGCAGCTTCTAGCGTCGAAGAAGCAGCTTGAAGGGATCGTGAAGAAGAAGCTCTTGTCGGCCATAGACCAGAGGGATCATCCCACAATTTTGAGATTCGTGCGATTGTATTCTCCGTTGGGAATGGAGGAGGAAGGTCTACAGCTCTACGTTGGTTACCTGAAAAAGGTCATCGCCATGAGAGGGAGGATGGAATACGAAAATGTGGTTGAGCTCATGGAGCAAGGACTCGGACAGGTAAATTTCGTTGGGTGCTTAACCAATTTGTTTAAGGACATTGTCATGGCTATTGAAGAAAACGATGAGATCTTAAGAGGGCTTTGCGGAGAAGATGGTGTTGTTTATGCGATTTGTGAATTGCAAGAGGAATGTGATTCTAGAGGTTCCTTGATCTTGAAGAAGTATATGGAGTTTAGAAAGCTAGCTAGATTGGCGTCTGATATCAACAATTCTCCAAATTTGAATCTTCTCGCTGGTGGTGCATCTGAAGGACCAGACCCGAGAGAAGTCGAGATGTATGTGGAAGAGATACTGTCGCTGATGCAGTTGGGTGAGGATTATACCGAGTTCATGGTATCAAAAATCAAGTCTTTGACATCGGTAGATCCTGAGTTGTTGCCAAGGGCTACAAAGGCATTTAGGAATGGAAGTTTTAGCAAAGTGATTCAGGACGTGACAGGATTCTATGTTATACTAGAAGGATTCTTTATGGTTGAGAATGTGAGGAAAGCTACAAGGATCGATGAGCATGTACCAGACAGCCTTACCACTTCAATGGTGGACGATGTGTTCTATGTGTTGCAGAGCTGTCTGAGGAGAGCGATTTCAACTTCAAACATCAGTTCTGTGATTGCTGTATTGAGCAATGCCGGTAGCTTGTTGGGAAATGATTACCATGAAGCCTTACAACAGAAGATTAGAGAGCCAAACCTTGGTGCTAGGTTGTTCTTGGGTGGTATCGGTGTAGAAAACACTGGAACTGAGATTGCTACTGCTTTGAACAATATGGATGTGAGCTGCGAGTACATTCTCAAACTAAAACATGAAATCGAGGAGCAATGTACTGAGGTTAGTACTCATACTCCTTATACTTTATGATCATACTTAATTAGGAAACTTGGAACAACAAATCTGGGATCTATTAGGCTAGAATAATCTCGTTTACTCTTGCCTGTCTATATATAGATATATCTCTTCACTTCTCTATTAAGTTATAGATAGTGATTCTATAACATGTATATTGGGATTTGAGCAGTTCCGAGAATGTCAGTCTACACTCTTGAATCCTGGACAAATCCATCTCAGCTTCTTTCTCTCTTGTCCTAATCACAGGTGTTTCCTGCACCAGCAGATCGGGAGAGGATAAAATCATGTCTATCCGAGCTAGGCGAGTTAAGCAACACGTTCAAGCAATTACTCAACTCAGGAATGGAACAGCTAGTAGCAACCGTAACACCCAGAGTGCGTCCGGTTCTAGACACTGTAGCTACCATAAGCTACGAGTTAACAGAAACCGAGTACGCAGAGAACGAGGTGAACGACCCTTGGGTCCAACGGCTTCTCCACTCGGTCGAAACAAACGCGGCGTGGCTCCAACCACTGATGACATCCAACAATTACGACTCGTTTCTGCATCTCATAATCGATTTCATAGTCAAGAGACTCGAAGTCATAATGATGCAGAAACGGTTTAGCCAGCTTGGTGGGCTTCAGCTTGACCGAGACACAAGGGCTTTGGTTAGCCATTTCTCGGGTATGACTCAGAGAACAGTGAGAGATAAGTTTGCTCGGTTAACTCAAATGGCTACGATACTCAACTTGGAGAAGGTTTCAGAGATTTTAGACTTTTGGGGAGAGAACTCAGGACCCATGACTTGGAGACTCACACCGGCTGAAGTTAGACGGGTTTTGGGTCTTCGGGTCGAGTTTAAACCCGAATCCATTGCTGCTCTCAAGTTGTGATGTTACTTCTTTTGTTTATGTCAACCTGCAAATTACTCATACCAATTTTCATGTAAACTGGTTGGTTCTACTGTCTACATATATTTAAATTGAATGAAAACAGAATTAAACAAAATTTGGTGAACCTAACTTGAAACAGAGCGCAAAGCTAAAATGTCATAAACTAGAAAAAAATAATCTGAATCTAGTGCCATAAATAATTATGTAATATCGATTTTAAACTTAATGAAATTGAACTGAATTATTTATTATTTTCTGATTTTCTAATTTTTATAATTGAACTGAATTATTTATTATTTTTTGATTTTCTAATTTTTATTTATTTTATTAAATGTCTCCCTCTCATCTTCTTCTCTTCCCTATCATTTGGTTTGGTCGATGTTGAAAACGAAATTCAATATGATGGACTTGCACCTCTGTCTCTTTCTCCTCTTCTGCAATCGATTTTTAATTCTTAACTCCTCTATCATCTGCCATTATTGAAGCTTCAAAACTGAGTAAATTATTCTTATTTGGAGATTTATGATTTTCACAATTTAGAAATTTAATTTGCAAAAATTGCTTATTTTGATATGCAAATTGGATTGATAACCAAGTTTAATGGACAATTAGATTGTTGTATTGGTAATTTGTCAGTGTAGTTCTTGAATCGTAGTGAATCTTAGGTAAATTAGAACTAAAATCCGAGTCCATCAAATCTGGGATGATAAGACAACTGGTATAAATTGTATAATTAAATGATATAGGACAATTGATACAAATGATACAACTAAGTGATATATTACAATTGATACAAATGACACTTTTGCAGTTGTACCTTAATTTAAATTATTATGTTGTAATTGTCCACATAATTTTCGACCATTAAATAACATTTACGAGGTTCTCATATTACAAATTATGATAAATCAGATATTTATAATTTTCTTAATACATATTCTAGTTTCTTATCAAACCTACCTGATAGTGCAAGAAAGATTTTTTTAATGTTAATCATTTTATGATGCAAAAGAGGCAAAATATATGATTTTGCACAACTTGTAATATGAAAACATCGAAAATGCTACTTAATATTCAAAAATCATATGAACAACTACAAAATAATAATCTATACTAAAAGATAACTGCAAAAATGCTAAAATCGCAAAAGTACAATTATTAAAAATTTCGTACAACTGGACTCGTAAGGTACAACTATGCACATTTTGACATGTGCGCCGACAAAATGGAACATATGCGCCGTCAATTTTGTATATAGTTGTACCCTAAGAGTCCAGTTGTACTAAATTCTTAATAGTTGTACTTTAGCGATTTTTAACGTTTTTGCAGTTGTACTTTGATATAGATTATTATATCGTAATTGTCCACATAATTGTTGACCATTAAATAGCATTTACGAAGTTCTCATATTACAAGTTATGAAAAATCATATATTTATAATTTTCTTAATACATATTCTTGTTTTCCCATCAAACATACCTTATAGTATAAGGAAGACTTTGTTAATATTAACCACTTTATGATGCAAAAAAGACAAAATATATGATTTTGCACAATTTGTAATATAAAACATTGTAAATGCTACTTAATATTCAAAAATCATATGGACAACTACAAAATAATAATCTATATCAAGGGATAACTGCAAAAATGTTAAAATTGCAAAAGTACAACTATTAAGAATTTTGTACAACTGGACCCTTAGGGTACAACTATGTACAAAATTGATGGCACACATGTCAAAATGTGCGCCGACAAAATGGAACATGTGCGCCGTTTTGTATATATTTGTATCCTAGTAGTCCAATTGTACTAAATTCTTAATAGTTGTACTTTAGCGATTTTTAACGTTTTTCAATTGTACCTTGATATAGATTATTATATCGTAATTGTCCACATAATTTTTGACCATTAAATAGCATTTACGAGGTTTTCATATTACAAGTTATGAAAAATCAGATATTTATAATTTTTTTAATACATATTCTTGTTTTTCCATCAAACATATCTTATAGTATAAGGAAGACTTTGTTAATATTAACCACTTTATGATGCAAAAGAGGCAAAATATATGATT